CATTTGTGTAATCTCTACTCCGTACTTCTCTTTTTTTGGGGAGCTTGGCTGGTTTTCTTTACTTTGGGGGATTGTCTTCTTGATGTTTTTCTGTTTTCTTTTCTCGTTTCCTTACCCTTCCTCTCAGCCGTCTTGCTCTTCTTTGCTACCACTGCTCCCATATGATGCGGTCTCTGTATTAAATTCACCAATTCCTCTCTAGGTTTCTCTTGTTTTTCTTTTTGTTTTCTCGCTATAACCTAGTCGGTGTCTATTCGGATCCGGTGTGTCACTTGTCTCCGCGGACGGTTTTCAAGTTTTTTTTTTTTTTTTTTTTCCCTACTTTTGCCTTCTTCTGTTGTTTTGTCTTTGTGCTCCCTCACCATGTGCAATATCGGTCGATGATTATGATGTATGGCTGAACGGATCTGGTAGAGGTAGATCCAATGCTCAGTTGCGTCCTGGGCTAAAAGTGTCATGAATTATGTATGTCCTGTACGATCCAGTATGGCACCTATATATGGAGACTGTCCTAGTATTGTACATTGTAGTCATAATAAAGTACTCGAGCTTTGTCGTCATTAACGCGGCATTCAGCCTCTGACTTTGATTACATTCAAAGGTGTAAATAATCAAGATAACTGAAGATGCCATATCATTAGATGGAAAAGTTGAGCCACCGAGTCCAAGCATATAAGCAAGTGCGCGGCCTCGACTTCAACCTTGACCGGGAACTATATACAATCAAAATGCAACATGACACGGTACATAATAGGAATCCAAAAAAGTCAAATCTATGTGGTGCAAGCAAGGCTCCAAGACAAATTCAGATGAGCAAAACAAAAGTGTCCAAGTCCAGCAATAATTTACTCAGCGGCGAGGCCAAGACCTTCGCCGCCAACCTTGTGGTAAGGCGGCTGAGCGCCAGCAGCCTTCTGAGCATCGAAGCGCCAGATACCGCCAGTCTTATCAGTCTCAAAAGCAAGATCAGCCAACTTGGCAAGACGCAGGGTCTGGGCATCGGCGGCACTCTCTTCAACACGGTTGAAGAAACGACGCTCCCACTCGCGGCCCTCCTCCTTCTCAATGCGGCGCTGTTCGCGCTGAGCAGTCTCAATGCGCGACTTGTACCCGGAAACGGCATCCATATCTCCCTTCTGGATGTTGGCGGCCACTTCGTTCCAGGCACGTCGGCTCTCGTACAAGTCCTGTTGCTCAAGGGGAGGCAGAGCCAGCGGAGTGACGGGGTTCTCCTTGGAATTCCAGGTGTCAATTACATCCTTGGTTTGGGCGTCCTTGAGAGAGAACTTGGCCGACCACTGACCCTCTACAGTGTAAAGGGGCTTCTTCTCGCCTTCGCTCTCCTTGAACAGGATCGCGGAGAAGGTGTTCTTCTTGCCGCTCAGCCAGCCCTTACCGGAATAGTCAATCTTAGCGATATAGCCGCTGCTGCTGACGATCTTGGTTGACTTCTCCAGTTCGACGAAGGGCGAGCCGTATATGAGCGATTCGATGTGTAGGCTTGGTAGCGTGATCAGGTATTCCTCCTTCTCGTTAGACCCGGGCGGGGTGAGTGTGTAAAGCGCATGGCCAATCTGCTTTACGAAAATAGTGCTAGAGAAGGAGGCCTTCTGCGCGTTATATCCTTGCAGCTGATGGTATTGTCAGTTATTGGCACGTCTCAATGACTTGGTGCAATATTTATCTACTCACCTCGACGCCGTTCTTCTCATTGCGGATCGAGTAGGCTGTGGCAGGAGGATGATGGCTGTGGTTAAATCAGTGGGTTGCAGCTCTATACAGAAATAGCTTCGCGTACCTGACTTGTTCACTGACCAAGACAGTCTCTCCCACTTCCGCGTCACCATCCCATTTGCCGATAAACAGCTCTCCCAGGAATGGGTTCAAAGGCTTCTTCTCACTACCGAGCTTCTCACTACGACTGCAGTACTGCTGGTGCAGTGTGCTGAGGAACCACTTGAGAACCAGGAGAGCACGCTTTGCGGGATCGGCCTCCTTGGCCGGTGCCACGAAGAGCGCAGGGTGTTCGGCCCAGTAGGCGGAGTACTCGGTAAGGGAGGTTGTAGACAGGATAAAGGGAGGAGCAGTCAACGAGGATAGATCACCGTTAAAGGAGGCGATCGACTAGAAATTTGTTAGCCTAGTATATTCCAGCAAATGAGCTTTCATGCCTTTAGGAAACTTGTCCATGAGCCCTTGCTTTGGGGGGGGACTTGGCTCTGAGGGGACATATTTTGAAATAAGTATGAATTCTTAAGCTATCAAATTGGACTCGAAATCTCCAAGATAAAAGCAAAGAAATGTGGGGAGGGGGAGAGGGGAGGGACGAGGTTGGTCGTTGGCGGTCAGAAGCGGAATAACGTCATGGGGCTGTGTGTATCGATGAACAGCCACAATCCTATTGGGTAGTTTCCCAGTTGCTCATTTGGAAAGATGCTTGTTTGAGATGAGATAATCGATACTGGTGCTGTTCTGTCTTCAATATGTGAAAGACTCTTTAATAGACCGTTCATTATCTCTCACTAGAGTAGTACTAGGCTATATGATGTGAGAGAGTCTGGACTTGAGAACAATCTTACAAAAGTCTTCCAGGACAAATTTTCTAATTTATACTACCTAGGTAGGGGGTTTAGGTATGTTTTTATTCATATTCCATGAACGGAATACTCTGTACGGAGTAACCATATATCCCTCACAAGACTACTTACCCTCGGTAGCCCCGGATTCTTTTCCGCTCCTCTGCCCTACTCCGCAACCCTACTGATCCTCTCCCCGAATCACATTGGTCTGTCACCTGTAGATTGGCAGGATGACTTCTAAGAAGACGATACCAAGCCCTCTACCCGGGGGCCTCTGGCCTCTTAAAACGCTACGTCGGAAGCAGCCCGTCGGAAACGACCCGCCGATCCTCCCTTAAGATGATAGGGAAACAAGGCATTCAAATTTTTCTCTATGACTCACGATTCAATTGTGCGATGTACTTCGTTGCTGTTGACTTGCTTAGAATCAATCCATTTACTTCCATTTTTTTGACCTTTTAATACAATCCCAATTGGAGATATTCTCACGCATCTACGGATATACCCGACGAGCATGACCTGGGAGGAAGCCGAATTTAAGAACGATTACAGAGACTCTTTTTCTGATTTACCACAAGCTAGCAGGCTCTAGCTTTTGCTAAAAGCTTCTCGCCATGTCTCCAACCACCTCGAAAGCTTCCAGCGAGGAGAGGCGGTCTCAGTCCTGGGTGAATGAAACCGAAATCCAGAGAGCTCAATCCCGGCGTTCACAACGAGAAGGAGCTGTAAATAGCCTTGGCCATGTACAGAGCCATGTCTCGCATCATGACATTCCTGTCAATGATGACTTCCAGGAGATCGATGCGGAGCAATATCTACGTTTTTCGCCAGCCCGCAAAGTCATCATCGTTGGTGTCCTGTCATTTTGCTCTTTCCTGGCACCTATCTCCTCCACCTCCATATTGGCAGGTATACCTGAAGTGGCAAAGACCTACGAAACCACAGGAAGTGTGATAAACGCTAGCAATGCGTTATATATGGCATTTATGGGCATTGCGGCTCCGTTTTGGGGGCCCTTTAGTCAGGTTTGGGGGCGACGTCCGGTGAGTATTGAGCAGAGGTTTATCTTGAAGTAACAAGCTGATTGGGAGTAGGTCTTTCTTGTGAGCGCATTTTTGTTCTTTGCGTTTAGCATCGGCACGGCCCTAGCCCCCAATCTCCCAGCATATTACATTTTCCGTGTCTTGACTGCGTTTCAAGGAACGTCTTTTTTGGTGGTTGGGAGTTCAGCATTGGGTGATGTATACGAGCCTCGAGCACGGGCAACAGCATTGGGGTGGTTTTTATCGGGAACCTTGATTGGGCCAGCCTTTGGGCCATTCATTGGCGTATGTCCACTGTATAAATACAGCATTGATACAATCCGCGCTGACCTACAAATATAGGGCGTGATCGTCACATTCTGCTCATGGCGAGTGATCTTCTGGCTCCAGGCAGCTCTTGGGGGCTGCGGAATGATTCTTGTCTTCTTCTTTTTCCCTGAGACCTACCCGCATCTGACCAAAGGCGATATGGCCGACAAGACGATATGGCAAAAGTCCAAATATCTTTGGTACCGGATCTCCCCCCTCCAAGTTGCTATTATGCTATTTAAATACCCCAACCTCTTCTGCACGGGTCTCGCTGCCGGCGCTCTCGTCTGGAACCAGTACTCTCTCTTGACTCCAATTCGATACGTACTTAACCCACGTTTCCACCTCACCAGCCCTATCCAGACGGGTCTATTCTACATAGCGCCAGGCTGTGGGTATCTTGTTGGTACACTCATGGGTGGAAGGTGGGCAGACCATACTGTGAAGAAATGGATCCGCAAGCGTGGTGGTGTGCGAGTCCCCGAAGACAGACTGAAGTCTTGTCTGATATTTTTGGGTGGTGTCATTCCAGGGTGTATCTTGGTCTATGGCTGGACGGTCGAGAAGGCTGTTGGTGGAATCCCAGTCCCCGTCCTTGCGATGTTCTTCCAGGGAGTGGCACAGTTGTTCTGCTTCCCTAGTCTCAACACTTACAGCCTGGATGTTATGCAGTCGAGTGGCCGGAGTGCCGAAGTCGTTGCCGGTAGCTATCTGTTACGATATGTGTTCGGTGCTCTGGGGTCTGGTCTTGTGCTTCCGGCGGTAGAGGCTATGGGGGTGGGGTGGTTTAGTACTATCAGCGCGTTATTTTTAGTTGTGTCTGGGGTCTGTGTATGGCTCACCACTATTTTTGGCCATCAATGGCGGGACAAGGTCGAAAAGAAAGACCAGAGTAAGTCTGAGGAGAGAACAGAAGAGAGAAAGCAGGATGTGACAAAGGCTGAGAGTTGAAGATTCATTGTTGTAGACATCTATGTATGTAATACTTAATGATAGAATATGTCATGACCAAAACCAAGATAAAAGAGAGTAGAGAATAACAACGAAAAACTTCTCAAAATAAACGAGATTACTCCGTAGCCATAGTTCTTGTGTGGTGGTTTTGCGCTTTGGAGAGATCTTCATTAGGAACAGGTTGTTTCCCCTTTGCGATATGACTAGGATCTAGGCCACTCTCTGCCACAACACGGTCTATCTTGCGCTGCTCGGTGAATTTCTGACAGTCTTCACGACCTTTTTTGATGTCTACAAAGCAGATAGTGATCATTGCGCCAGCGCAGATGGCGAACAAAAATGGGAAACCCATCCAGCTGTTGTGGGTATTGTTTATGATGGCTTGAATGACATTGGGACCGATGATTGAAGACTATATATAAGGTTAGTGAGAATAATAATAAAATAAAAAAACACAGCGCCAGGTACAGCCTACTTACTGCACGGTTAGTTATTCCAAAAAGCGCAAAGAACATATTATCGTAGCCGCGTGGCATCAGCTCGCTGATCATTGTTTGGGCGTACTGGCATGATATTAGAAACCATAGGGGGAGTGAAAATGTTGGAGACCATTTAAAAGTCCACCTACTGCGTAGTATGGGGCCTGGAAAAGCCCGAAGATGACATTGTAGAAGTAGAACTCCCACTTCATAACTGTTAGCTGTAAACTCTCAGTTGGAGCCTGATACATACCCTATTATGGTACCCTATGTGGTTGGTCCATAGTCCCAGCATGCCCCAAAATGGGATGAGAACGGTGAAGAAATTGGTAAACAAAAACATGGTCTTCGTCTTGAATTTGAAGTACTGTTGTATATACCAGAAGCCGAATGTTGAGGTGATTGAACACGCAGCTTGGGTAATGCCGAGATATGTGATCTGCAAGAAAGAAAATGAAACAGAGTCGTTTTGGATAATGCTGACGAGAGTACCTATTGGTCTATGTTAATAAATTATGCTGTCTCTATAGGTACATCGAGTCTCAGTTGCAGCAGATGAGGGGAGAAAAGCTCACCAGTAGTGTTGAGGCCATCAGCAAGAAGAAAATAGGCAAAAAAGTACAGAAATGTCTGTGGAAGAGACCTGATTTCTCGAATGGCCAGCCATATCTGCTTGAATCCAATGGTGGTGTAACTTGACCCTTTTGGTATCTTTGGTCCCGGCCTTTTTTGCTGGAAAATAAACCACCAGATGCCAAGAACGACCCAATCTGTAGAAGGTCAGATAGTTCGACTCTTAAGTGGATTGCCAGAAAGCTTACATGAATTAGTAAGACATAGTGCCAGGTTATTTGAGAAGCTGTTGTTTTGCAGTGGAAGTAGAATACTCAGATTGAGCACGAGTGTGAGTAGGTATCCAATGTTGCTGTGTGCAGTTGAAATGTTGCTACTATTATCAGCGAGATCTTCAATAGGAGGTCAAAAGATCAAACTGACCTGATGTGATTTCTTTCCAGTGATTCAATAACATCGTATTCATCCTGGTTAATCTTACCTTCTCTAAGATCTTCTTCTCTCGCTTTGCGCACATGTGGTGTATATCGCGCCAGACGAGGGAATACAGCAGCATAGAATACTAGCGTTGCCCCATAGGCAATGTATGCCACAACGTACAATCCCATCGCCGTTGGCCACTGGCTCGGATGCCGGATGGACATCATACCATACTGCAGTGCCCAACAGACCACCGTCAATGCCAGAAGGAGCCATCGACCGAATGTCCCATAGTCCGCAGCACTTCCTAGCCAGACGAATATCACCGTCATGAAAGTGAAGCAAAGACCGTTGGCAATAAGAACCACGGAAGATACCGATCTTGTGCCTCCTACCCACGGAACTACACATGCGGATGAATCGGTGCAGGCTTTGGGTGGATTTGAGCCAGGTTGATGTCCGGCGCCATTCAAGGCCCACTGGAAACTTCACGAGATTAGTCGAGAAATTCCAGTATTTCATTACACCTACAGGGCTTGGCTGTACGATCCCGGGCCGACACCGTTATCGCCATTGTAATAGAGGTAATATGACCAAAGTTCTTTCCTAGTGGTGGTTGGCTGCTCATATGCGTCCTCGTCGACGCCGAAGAGCCTTTCATACTCCTCCAAGGTGGAATGTGGATGTGAGACCGAGGCCACATCGACGATCGCATCATTCTTATTATTTTGATGAATCTCAGCCATGTTGAAGGTGTAAGTTTGACAAGATATATATATTTCCCTACATGTACCTATACCGGAATCATCACTGGGTGGGGCTTTCTTATCTGAGCCTCCGCCTTTGAGGGTCCACAGGTACAGGCTCACCGAGTAAATATCAGCACGGTAGACTCAGGAACTAGGCTAGTCACGTGCATAGTGCAAACAGCTGGATAGTTATCTCTGGAACTAATGACTATGCCATCTGGTATTCGAACAAAGATCAATTGGAAACAGCTTATCCTGTACTAATTTCTGGCAGAGTTACTAAACTTTCAATGCACGACACTGCGCTCACATATCATGGCCCTTGGAACAGCCCCGGCCTACCGATAACGTGAAAACGGGGAGCGGAAGTCTTTGCATGCAAATTTAGCAAGTAGAAGCTGGAAAGGGGAGACTGCTGAGTTTAGGATTTCATTAGGTATACAAAATTCTGACACATTTTGACTTGATGGATGGGGTATCTAGATCTGCGCAAAGACGAGCGCATTATTCTAGGCAAGTCTGGAATGAATAAGAAGACCTACAAGAGCACGGGTAGTAATTGCGAGATAATAGAGTCAAGTACAGTATGTACATTTTTTGCTCTAATTATCTGTGGGGTTGATGAGAACTGGAGTGGTGGAGTGATTTGAACATGGTGGAGTGGTGGAGTGGTGGAGCTCATTTTCCCCTTTAATGCCCTTGCAATTAGATACAGTGACTTGGATATGGCAAGAATGGGATATTTAGCACGGAAAACAACTAATTTCCCGCACTTGTTGACGGGAAATAATTGGGTTTGTAACTTCGGCAGGTCTAAATAGAACAGTGCATTTCATATGCCCTGACTGTTCTATCTACTGCGTACCTATCCTCCAATTTGACATCAACACACTTCAAATACACAAATCAACCTTGTGGCAAGAATGGCCCCTAAGCCGAAGGTTGCCTTCATCGGGCTGGGTGCCATGGGGATGGGAATGGCCGTACACTTGCTCGAAGACGGTTTCGCTGTGACCGGGTTCGATGTCAATCCCATGGCCCTAGAGAAATTGCTCGCCATGGGCGGTGCAGCTGCTGAAAGTCCAAGGGAATGCGTTCAAGATGCATCATTTGTTATTTGCATGGTTGCGAATTCTACGCAGACTGGGGATGCATTTTTCGCCGACTCAACGGGCGCAGTGTTTGGCCTGACACAGGACGCGATTGTTATATTGTGCTCAACTGTTGCTCCTGGATTTCCAGTGGAAATTTTGGACCGCATCCACCAACGTTTCCAAAGACTAGATGTACAGTTGTTGGATTGTCCCGTGTCTGGTGGAACCATACGCGCAGCTCGAGGAATGTTGACCATTCTGTCATCGGGACCGACAGACGTTCTGAATATTGCTCAGCCAATCTTGAAGTCAATGAGCGAGAATCTATACGAGATTGAGGGAGGACTAGGCGCTGCGAACAAGGTAAAACTTGTCAACCAGCTCCTTGCTGGAGTTCATATTGCTGTCTCTGCAGAGGCAATGGGGCTAGCTGCAACCTTGGGAGTGAACACAAAGGAATTCTACGAGACCGTTCTGAAAGGCCCGGCTTGTAGTTGGATGTTTGAGAATCGAGTACCTCATATGCTCTCCAACGACTGGACACCTCACTCTGCTATCAGTATCTTTGTTAAGGATATGGTAAGCTTCCTGCCTTAGTGCAGCATTGGATTTCTTTCACTAACGCCTAAATCAGCGAATTGTGACCTCGGAAGGTCTCCTTCAGGATTTCCCTCTTTATATTGCGTCTGCGACAGAAAGACTTTATCAATATGCCGCGCGTATGGGATATGAAAGAGATGACGATGCAAGCCTTGTTCGAATTTTTCTAGCACAAACGCCATCTCTGGTTTCGGAAGCAACACATTTCCAGAGCCCCGACAACGCGCACACATCTGAATTGATATGCCAGTTACTGGAGACTGTCCACACTTTAGCAGCGATCGAAGCCCTGGCTCTCGGACAGAAACTCGGTATTTCGACCGGCACTCTCACATCAATCATTTCAACTGCGGCTGGTGCTAGCGAGTCGTTCAAAACAGTTGCCCCAAAGATTTTGGCTGGCGATCTATCATCTGGATACAGCATCACACAGGCACGGAACAAGCTGGTAGGTCTATCCTCCTCAAAGCTTCAATCGACGTGACTAACCAAATCGACAGAAAGAAGTGATGACACTTGCCCAAATGCATAATTATCCTCTGCAAATTGCAGCTACTACATTCCAGCTACTACAACAGGCTGTGGCCTATGGCCTAGGCGGGGAAGGTCAAGCAGCACTTGTCAAGTTATGGACAACATCAAATCTTTCTGCTGAACCCTTGCATATTACCGAATATGAGCCAGTTCCCCTCTCAGAATTATGTTCAAAATTGCCTAAACTTGAGCACAACGCCGAAAACCTCCTATGCAGTATTCAAGATCATTTGCACGCTGAGAAGGACTCCAAACTCGTTGTTCTTGACGATGACCCAACAGGAACGCAGACGTGCCATGATATTAATGTCCTCACCATGTGGGATGTTGATCTTCTGGCGTCAGAGTTTCGGTCAGAGGGTGGAGGATTTTTTATTTTGACTAACAGTCGTGCCTTGCCTCCCAACGAAGCTCGTACGTTAGTCAGTGAAATACTGCAAAACCTCTCTCGGGCGGCTGATATGACTGGCAAAAAGTTTGAAGTTGTCCTTCGGGGAGACTCTACATTGCGTGGTCATTTCCTGGAAGAAGTCGAATCGTATATTGATACGATTGGCTCTCCCGATGCATGGATTCTCGCCCCGTTCTTTGGACCAGGTATTCGCTATACCATCAACGATGTACAATATGTGGGTGACCGAGATACTCTAGTCCCAGCCGCAAAGACTCCATTTGCCAAGGATAGAACCTTTGGCTACAGATCCTCAAATCTTAGAGAGTGGGTTCGTGAAAAAGCAGGATCGCGATTTTCCAGCAAAGACATAATGTCTGTCACCCTGGAGGATATCAGACTCGGAGGGGTTTCTGCAATCGAACAAAAGTTGCTTCTGATGCCCAAAGGCGGAATCCTGATCGTTAATGCAGTCCAGACGGAGGATATGCTGATGTTCAGCCTGGCATTATTGGAAGGTAACCACCCTTGTTTCTTTCTGGCTCCTTAACGGTGAATGGTACTTCCAAACTGACTTCGCACTTGCAGTACGCAAAAAACACAAACGCCGGTTTGCTTATCGAACGGGTGCGAGCTTTGTATCTAGCCGCCTCGCGATCCCAAAAAAATCGGTCATTTTACCAAGACAGATCCCAACGCTCAAACCAACGAGGCGCACGGGAGGACTGATTATAGCTGGCTCTTATGTCCCCAAGTCCACCAAGCAGGTTGAATCATTGGTCCAAATATTAGGGGACAACTTAACAACTTTTACTGTGGAGGTACCAGCCCTCTTGATCGAGCTCCAAAAATATCCCGACATTCTCACAATGCTTCGCCATTCACCCGTGCTGCAAGGCATTGTTGCACGTGCGTCGGGAGACCTCCAAGATGGCAAGGATGTGCTGGTGGTGACTAGTCGAGACCTTGTGACACTGGATTCTGTTAATTCTTGGGCACCGGAAACTTCCAAAAGAATAACGAACTTAGACATCAATAACTTAGCCGCGAATGCCTTGGTACACATTGTTCGCCATCTGAGCGTTTGTCCTCGATACCTGCTAGCGAAGGGAGGCGTGACATCATCTGATGCAGCAACAGCTGGTATAGCCATAAAACGTGCAAGAGTGCTGGGCCAGGCGGCTCCTGGGGTTCCCGTTTGGTGGTGCCAGAGCGAGGAAGATTTCAAGAGTCAAGATCAAGGAGGACGAGAGGTCAAATGGACTGAACTACCATTGATTATTTTCCCAGGCAATGTTGGAGACGAAGATAGCTTGGCTGATGTAGTTGAGCAGTGGGCATTACAATAGACTATTGTGCTTGAGTCATGAGAGAATTGTACTCGAGAATTAGATATAAAAGAATTTTTGCATATACTTCGCTTTCTGCAATACTAGTTACTATATATAGATTCACCTGCTAGATACAGACACAGACATCGTGTCGCTTTAGGGAATATCTAAGAACAAGGAACTCAGGCGCAAAAGAATCTTATACATTCTAGAGGCGCTTAGAGGGAGCCTTGGAAAAGAACTCGTGATGTGAACCTTGGAATAGTAGAAAACGATTAGCTAAATATGCATACGAACCTTTAGCAGCCGGATGGAGCCTTCAGGGCTCTGGGCACAAATTATAATAAAGCTGCCATACTGACGCTGCCGTCGTAGGAATCGCCTTCGAACTCCCGCCTTGCGATACCTTGTTCAACCTCCACCCCGGGAGCGTATGCCCTGCTGTGCCAACTGCCATTTCTAAGCTCAAGGCGCTCGTTGTAGTCGGCTAAGTCCAACCCCGCTACCGCTCTCCCAGCTAGCCTCATCTACTACCCGTGCCCCTTTCAGCCTTAGCGCCAACCAGTAAGTTTATATAGAGCGTATTGGGCCCATCTCTATTTCACTACAACAAGCGCGCGGGGGCCCCACCCACAGCCAGGCCAATGCTGAAGTCCCACGAGAAATCCTCACCTCACCAGCGCAGATCTCTCATCAGCAAAGAATTCCGCACACAGAAACTGTACGACGTGGGGTGGAGCAGGCATGGTGCCGTGCTCAACAGTCCAACCAGTCTGTTGAAACCTATCTAGAAACGTCAATTCAGACGAGACGATGGGCCTTTCTTCTATTATACTTTTTTTTTTAATAAACTTTGCCACCAAGATGCTAATAGTATAAAAATGTGTGTATTTGTTCAAAATATATATATGTTCTATCTGTTCCCGAGTTTATTGAACGATGAAGTCCTCAAAATCCTCGTCGGGGAGATATGCTTTTTCATTCCCCTCAATCGTACCCAGATACCATGACAGGTCACTTCCATCGAACTCACGTGCCGCGAAGCCGTTACCCAGATACCCAAACCGATTAGAGGTTGTATAACCGAGGTTATAATCTTCCCAACGGGGCTGTTTCATAGTTTCAAAGAAATGAATTCTCGAGCCTGGCCACATCATTACCTCCCCATAGACGGTTCCCTGCTTGAACCAAGAACGACATGGAGATGTCCACGCGGTACGAGGCATGAAGTTTCGGTGGTGCTCAAAGAAATCCGCAACTGCCTCAGTTTTGGGTTCAAAGGATGTCACGCCTTCCGATGACATTTTCTCGAGGATCTGGAGGAAGTGTCTCGATAGAGTCTCCGTAATTGGAAGGAAACTTCCATGGCCGTATGGGCCAAAGGGACCATTGAAAACTGTTCAATTGCGATTAGTATCACAACACTTTAGGGCTGAGGGTACGAAAGGGCTCACTGAGATAATTGGGGAAGTGTGGAACTGTGATGGAAAGGTAAGTCCTTGGAATATCCTTCCATTCTTCACTCAAACTGCGAGATTCCCGGCCGATTGTGGGATACGATGGCCGCCAGCTGACATCAAAACCAGTAGCGCACACGATAACATCGACCTCGTGCTCAACCCCGTCCGCAGTCTTGATACCCTTGGGGGTAATCTCTTGAATCGATTGACTGACAACGGTGGTGTTCTCGCTGCAAAGTGCCTCGAGGTATCCATTTCCGGGTGTAGGTCTCCGGCAGCCAACTGCAAAGTCCTTCGGAACAATCGAGTCTGCGATTTCTGGACGATCAGCGAGCTTGATTCGCATATCTTTCTCTGCGTACTAAAAGATCTGCCTTGTCAGAAAATGCCTAGAAGTTTACTGGGCCGAGATGGGAATCTTACAGCTCGCGCGTTTGCTTGCTCTTCGGATCCATTGAGAATAAATCGGAAACGTGAGTTGAGCTCAGACTCAATCTTCTTGCGATATGCCAGGTATTTCTGAGAATCGGTTCGCAGTATTTCCTTTTGCTTCTCACTATCTGTTACTGTCAGTATTTTGCATATAGGTCTGATAGGGCCCGAGGGAAGCCTTACATTTGAAATTGGATCCCCCTTTTCCTGCAAATCGTTGGCCAAAGCCTGCAGTCACCCACGAGGCACTGCGAATGAAGCATTTGAGGGATGACACCTCTGTATTGGACGTTAAGAAGGCTCCTTTTGCGCTTTGAATCAGCGAAACTCACTAGGTTGAATGGTCGGCACGATTTGCACTGCAGAGGAGCCTGAGCCGATAACAGCCACACGCTTCCCCTCCAATTGGACGTTGTCATCCCAGTGTGCACTATGAAGTCTTGGCCCCTGGAATGTTTCTAGGCCCTTGATTGCGGGCCATTTCCATTTGCTGCGAAGTACGTCAGTCTCTTCATTTTACGACCGAAAAAGAAGAAAAGGTACTAACTTCAGCACACCACTTGCGTTGATCAACATGTGACCTTTGTCCTCAAAGACATCTTCAGGATTATCTCCCTTCTGAATTTTCACATGCCACTGTTGATCATGCTCATCCCAAAAGGCGCCTACCACCTTGTGGTCCAGGCGAACATATTTCCGAAGCCCGAACTTGTCGGCAACGTCCTTGAAATATTTCAAGATTTCAGGTGCGCCAGAGTAACTATCAACCAGTAAGTTTAATGCTTTACCTATTCAGAAAAGATAGGTTGGTTGTACTTACAACGAGGTCCAGTCTGGAGAGGGAGCCCATGAGAACTGATAGTTGACGGACGGTATGTCGCATCCACATCCGGGGTAGCGGTTCTCATACCAAGTACCACCAATCTCCGGGTTCTTTTCGTAAAGAACCAGTTCAGTATCCAACGGACTCGTGTCGATGTCATGGGCAAAGTTCAACGCACTCGCGCCAGCTCCGATCACGATGATGCGGATTTTGCGACTGGATCGACTTGGCTCTTCCACGATTTCATAAGGTTTAACCCCATTCGCGACCCCATTAGCCTTGGGCTCATAATAGTCACCGATAGATCCCATTTTGGTTAGAAGAAACAGGATAAATAAAGAGGAATGATCAGAGTGCTTCGATCAAATCAAGATGTAAGGGGGGAACGATTCATTTATGAGACTCTTCCAATTAGCCTACATCCCACTACATTTTGTGCTTGGTGTTGCACATAATAGATGGTGGACAATTGCGTCCAAACTGCAAACTATAGCTCTTCTTCGGTGGACTGGTGGAGCTCCACCACCTCTTATCGCATTCCGAGAGCTCTTCCCTCTCCACCATCTCCACCACGGAGAGAAGCGCGAAGAGGGAGTACAACTTGTAGTCATGGAGTTATACTTTAATTATAAGCCACTTGAGTCCTCTGATAGACACACTTACCCCGTGCCTATGTGTTGATCAACTCACCACTTCTGCTATCCAATATGCCTGAAGGTACCAATAAGAAGCCGTTGCGCATTTCCATTGGTGAGTGTCAATCTCTCGTGATCTCCTGGTGTAGTATTGACTATTGTAAACAGATCGTGGAGGAACCTTTACCGATTGTATTTGCAAAGTGATCAATGGGGACGATATTCTCGTAAAAATCTTGTCTGTCGACCCGAAGAACTATGCCGACGCGCCAACTGAGGCGATTCGCCGCGTTTTGGAGATACACTATAAAACTTCAATCCCTCGAGGTTCTGAACTAGATCTCAAGGATGTTGGTAAGAGTCATCCAGGGCCATATTTAGCTACTTTGCTAATTTAACAGAATGGATCCGCATGGGCACAACGGTTGCAACCAATGCGCTACTCGAGCGCAAAGGCGAGCGCACAGCCTTACTTGTCACCGAAGGTTTCAAGGACATCTTGTATATTGGCAATCAAAGTCGACCCTACATGTTCGATCTGTCAATTCGACGATCAAAACCGCTATACTTAGACGTCTTCGAAGTCAAAGAACGCGTGACCGTTGCGACATGCAGTGACTCAAATCTCCGTACCGTGAAGCTACAATCTCCAGAGCCAGTCGAGTCAATTATCGGCACTTCTGGTGAGGTTGTTCAAGTGCTGCAGCCTATCGACTTGGCAAGCACTCGGGCTTACCTGCAAGATATATATAAAGAGGGCTTTCGCTCATTGGCGGTCTGCTTCATGCATTCCTACATCTTCCCAACTCATGAGTTGCAGATTCGTGAATTGGCGCTGGAGATTGGGTTCAAATATATATCTCTCTCACATGAAACCTCTCCACGCCCAAAACTTGTCCCTCGCGGAAATTCCACGGTAGTCGATGCATACCTGACTCCAAACATCGAACAATACTTGCAACAATTCTCAAAGAATTTCCCTAATATCGACCAGTCTGGGACGAGATTGGAGTTCATGCAGTCAGATGGCGGATTGGTGCCTTCGGCAAGCCTCTCTGGGCTGCACTCTATCCTCTCTGGACCGGCGGGAGGTGTTATCGGTTTTTCCCAAACATGCTTCGACGCAGAAGATCGGATTCCTGTCATTGGATTTGATATGGGAGGCACAAGCACTGACGTTAGCCGATACGACGGTGAACTGGATCACATCTTTGAAACAACGACTGCTGGGATCGCAATCCAAGCCCCACAACTAAATGTGAATACTATTGCGGCTGGTGGAGGAAGTATACTGGCTTGGAAAGATGGTCTCATGTCAGTTGGTCCCGAAAGTGCCACCTCCAATCCTGGACCGGCCTGCTACCGTAAAGGAGGTCCTTTGACTGTGACCGACGCAAATCTGGCACTGGGACGGTTGATTCCAGAGGAATTCCCCTCGGTGTTTGGTGTTAATGAGAATGAATCATTGGACAGAGAGATTGTTCTCACCAAGTTCAAGGATCTCACTCAAACCATCAACCAAGAGACGGGTAAATCACTGACATGGGCAGAGGTTGCAGATGGGTGAGTAATATCCAGAATAAGAGTATCGGATTCAGCCACTAAGATGTTCCTTGCAGTTTCCTTCAGGTTGCCAACTCGGCAATGTGCGGACCCATCCGAAGTTTGACTGAAGCTAAGGGTTATGATGTTGCAAAGCATCATCTCGCATCATTTGGTGGTGCGGGTGGTCAACATGCCTGTGCTATCGCCGAAGCCCTAGGAATTGGGAGAGTTTTGATCCATAAGTACTCCTCTATTCTCTCTGCCTATGGAATTGGATTGGCAGATCTCGTGCACGAGGAAGAGCAGATATGCTCAAAAGTCTTTGACGAATCTACGTCAAAAACGATATACAACGACATGGACATCCTCGCAGACACCGCCCGAGGCAATGAGTCTATGAAACCATTTAACAGTGTCCAGACCCGCTGTTTCTTGAATATGAGATACGATGGCAGTGAGACTTCAATTATGGTCTCTCTGGGTAAATCAGAAGACCCTCGGGAAGAATTCATCAAAGCTCATCATCAGCAATTTGGATTTACTCCTACCAACCGTGCAGTGTATGTTGACACTATTCGCGTTCGAGCGATTGGCTCCAGTGTATTCTCTGGGTCTTCGGTCAAATCTTCGAATTCCCATCCCAAACTCGTGTCAGGCTCAGTGGTTCCAGTTCCTAAATCATGGGAATTCAGTTACTTCAATTCAATGGGATGGGTAAACACACCAGTATACCATTTTGACAACTTGGGCGATGGGTGCCAGATCTCAGGACCGGCCCTCGTGATTGATAAAACTCAGACAATCTTGGTCAGCCCGCACTCAAAAGCGACATTGACACAAGATGTACTGGTCCTGGACGTGAGCTCCTCAGGTCCAAAATCGACGAGCGCAGAGGTCATTGACCCAGTTCAGCTTTCCATTTTCCGTCATCGCTTCTTTGGCGTTGCAGAGCAAATGGGACGTGTGTTACAAAATGTCAGCATCAGTGCTAATATTAAAGAGCGGTTGGATTTCACCTGTGCGATTTTCACACCCGAAGGAGACTTGGTAGCCAATGCACCCCATGTACCCGCCATGATTGGGAGTATGGCCTTTGCAGTCAGATCGCAGATTGCCGAATGGCAGGGCAAGCTACAAGATGGCGATGTTTTGCTCTCCAATACACCAGGTAGGTATCTCAAAACAAACACGAGAGTGGTTCCAGCAGCTAACGCATTATCGTGAAGCATTTGGAGGTGTTCATCTTCCTGATCTCACGGTCATTACCCCTGTCTTTGACTCTGATGGAAAGGAAATAATATTTTGGGCTGCTTCGCGCGGTCATCACGCCGATGTAAGGTTTTTTTTACGTCCCAAGCGAGCCACATACTAACAAACTATCCGTAGGTCGGAGGCATACTTCCTGGCTCAATGCCACCCCTGTCAAAGCTTCTATCTGAAGAGGGCGCAGTCTTTGATTCATACCTGCTAGTACGCGCTGGCCATTTCGATGAGGAAGAGCTTCACCGCATGTTGTGCATAGAGCCTGCGCGTTTCCCAGGCTCCAGTGGATCTCGATGCTTCCAGGATAATGTCACGGATTTGAAAGCGCAGGTTGCTGCAAACCACTGCGGCATTCGCCTCGTACGGCAACTGATCGAGGAATATTCTATGGATGTGGTTCAGGTAATTACTATTGATGCCTCAAGAATACAACGGACCATCAGGCTAACCAAAGCAGATGTACATGCGCGCAATTCAAGACTCGGCTGAGCTCGCAGTGCGGAATCTCTTCAAGCGCCTTGCTCATGATCTCAACGGGGAAGATATATCCGCAGTCGACTACATGGACGACGGGACTCCTATCATGCTCAAAGTAACCATCGATCCATCGGATGGCTCCGCCATATTTGACTTTACAGGAACAGGTCCAGAGGTTTATGGTACGTTTGTCCTGGTGGCTCACCACATAAATTTCAATAGCTGACTGACTGCAGGTAACTGGAATGCCCCAATTGCGATTTGCAACTCGGCAGTCATCTTTGCTTTACGCTGTATGGTTAACTCCGACATTCCCCTCAACCAAGGTTGCATCAAACCTGTACAGATTATCATCCCTGACAAGTCACTGTTGCGGCCAAGCTTCGAGGCCGCAGTGTGTGCGGGTAACGTATTGACCTCACAACGAATCGTGGACGTCATTTTCAAAAGCTTCAAAGTCTGCGCCGCCAGTCAAGGGTGCATGAATAATTTCACCTTCGGCAATGACGGTGAGAACGGGTTCGGATACTATGAAACCATCGCTGGCGGGAGTGGCGGAGGTCCCAGCTGGGGTGGCACAAGTGGTGTGCATACCAACATGACCAACACGCGCATCACCGACCCCGAGTCACTAGAACGCCGCTATCCGGTGATTCTGCGGCGTTTCTGTCTTCGCGAGGGGAGTGGCGGTGCTGGAATGTATCCTGGAGGAGAAGGTGTTATCAGAGATGTTGAGCTGCGGCTGCCGATGTCTGTGTCTATTCTTTCTGAGCGTCGTAGTTTTGCGCCTTACGGTATGGCAGGCGGTGCTGATGGCGGCCGCGGGAAGAACACATGGATCACCAAGGCGGGTCGGCATATCGCTGTTGGTGGCAAAAATTCGATCCGCGTCCAACCTGGGGACCGGTTTGTGATTGAAACCCCCGGTGGTGGTGGATATGGAGTCCCTGGGGAACCAAAGAAATCAAGCGTGGATCAGTCAACGGTCATGCCATCATTTGTTCCTATCGCTAACGGTAGTGTGGCTGCCAATCGGAGCCTAGCAGAGGAGGTATAGGAGTATACGCAGCTAGCGATATTCCATGTCTATTCGTTTGTTCAATAAATAAATTATTTCCTTCCTATCGCCTCCAGGCAAACAATATTCAATTTATGTAAAAATCGTTGGGCTCCAGCTAATCAAAGTTCAGAGCTCGATCTACAAAACGCAAATATTGAAACAGAAGAAACAACAGCAGTGAAAGAAAAAGTTCAATGTACTAACGCATAAATGTTGAATGATATATCTCGAGAAGAATCCAAGTCCTTATGCATTAACTATGCATTATACAGTCGGTTCCAGTGCCAGTGCCGACAGCCCAGTTTCAATTAACAAGGGCTGCCTGTCCTAAACTGGCCTAGATATACAGGCCATCACGAAATACTAAGAATATCCAATTCCACATCTATCATTCCTTCTGATTCCGTAGTATCAACCCCAGCACTAGAATTCCGTTCTAGTTGTTACCATACATTCCTCCTGAACCATTTGTCGATATACATATTTCTCGTATTCTTCTGAGCTCAGGCTCCGTGCGCCATATCGTTCAGACTTTAGAGTAAGCTGGCCTGACTGCTAAAATTTATCTAGTCTCTTGAAAGGTTGTGTTCACAGGCGATTGAAACAATACATAAAGTTCAAACAAGAGCTGCGCAGGTTGAATTATTTACTATCTCAGCAGTATCTTATAAGCCCAAGTCCTAACACGATACACCCCGGTTAGATACAGATGATCCACCGTGGATGTTTAATCTTAGCTAGAAAAGTCTCGAATGAACAAAGATACCGCGATGCCTGTTCAAGTGTAGAAAGTCACAACACATAGCGGAAGGCTGGCTGCTCGAAATCTGTCAAATCCAGGAATTCAGAGCCAGGGGTAGCATATGCAGTGTCAGGATTCTCGATCGCCTTGCGGTCGCGTCTCTTGTTCTCCCAGATATTGACAAACCGAATAATTAGCAAGGTGACCGCTGCCAGAGCATACATGATAGCGACCATCAACTTCCCATCGAAATACTCAGGCGCTTGATCTGAGCGGAATGTTTGAGGGCCGATCCAGTTTCCAGCTGCGTATGCCACGATCTGGAGGCCGTTCACCGTTGCTTTCTTTGTATATCCCAGGGTGTTGTTGGAAATCATCACCATGACGAGACACCAGGCAGTTCCAGCGGCACCGATGAAGTAGTATCCTATCAACAAGGCGGCTTTGGCGTCAAGAGGGATCGCAGTCATCATGATACCGCCGATCATGGGAATCATAATAGCAATTATGGCAAAGAGGGTGCGATCAAAGAACCGATCAGAGAGATAGGTCAATCCCAGTTTACAAATAATGTCCACCGCGCCCATTGGCATGTTCAAAATCAGGGACATACGATCATCAAATCCAAAGGAGCTGATGATGATAGAGCCAAAGGCCGTGATTCCCCCGTTGGGAATGTTCATCAGCAGCGAGAATAAAACGTAGAGATAGGTGCGTGGGTCGCGGAATGCTTCGAAAAATTGGGGCCATTTCCATGTATGATTACCAATTCCTTGGAAGTTGCCCCGAAGGCGATCAATGGCAATAAGCTTCTCGCGGTGATTCAAGAACCGCGCCTGGATCTGATTGTCGGGCATGTACCACAAGTACAATAGACCAGTCACAATAGTGGGCAGGCCAAAAACCAAGAAGAGAATTTTCCAGACAGCGATGGAAGTTCCTGATACACCCGCTAGGCCGTAGGCAATGGGCCCAATAAGTACCTGGGCCACTCCGTTGCAACTGAGCCAAAAGCCCATGCGTTTGCCTTGTTCCTCTTGCTTATACCAGCAGGAAGTGAACAAGACAAAGGCTGGAGTCACTGTTGCCTCAAATGCGCCTAGGAAGAATCGGACGACCAGTAGGGTCGCATAGTTATGAGTTGCTGCGTGGCAGGTGAGTGCGATACCCCAGAGCACGATATTGAGTGAGGTATACTTGCCCAGGGGCAAGCGGCGAAGCAGATAAGTGGTGGGGAATCTAAGCATATACATTAGCAACTTGTGGAAGATAGCAACGGGAGAATAGACATACTCCCAAAAAATGTATCCAGCATAGAAAATACTCGAGACCCAGCTATATTGTTGCGAGTCGGGGTCCAAATGAGTGTCTTCCCGAATGCCCATAAGCGAGGCATAGTTCAATGATGTTTTGTCGGCAAATTGAATCAAATAGACCCAACAGAGTAAGGGCATGAGGTATCGATCGATTTTGGACAAAACCTTCTTCGCTTCGTCCGGGGTATATTCAACCTCCTCTGAATTCATGAATTGGAGAGCAGGATCAAGGCCCTGAATCTCATGCTGCTTCTGGTCTCCATCTTGGATATCCATGACAGCTTGCTCCGTATCAAGTTTTGGTGAAACCTCGGATAGCTTCATATCGTTTGACATGGTCATATTGTCTCAGTTAACTCAACAGAGCCTTGAATGCCAGAATCATGAAGCCATGCCTTTCTCTTTAAATCCCCCTCTTCTGATACTGGGTTATCAGAAGGCGTTCTACAGCCTATGGGGAAGTTAGCCTGAAATGGCCAAGCTCCAAGCTCTACCCCGGAATTTGTGGAGGTGGACTTTTTCCGGGTGGAGCTCCATTTTGAAGTCCAGAGGCCTCGGATTGTGGACGGGCTTATCAGCTTATCAAGGTTCTTACGTGAAGTTTCCCGAAACCCCCGGGGCCGTGGACCTAGGAAGATTGGGTTCCCCGTGACCTCGGGACATCCCCCCGATATCCCCATGTACCCCCTATGCGCCAAGGCACCTGGGCAGCTGCAGATAGCAATTGAATTAACGCGGGGATTTCATTCGACTCAATCTCGTATTTGATTATCTTTGTTCAATAAAAATGATCTTATCACTTCAATGTCCGATTTATGCTTTCCGCGACATACCGAACGTTTGACCCGTTAAGTCCCGCAATAGATACCCTCGAGCTCTCGGCCATATAGATATGGTATTCCTCTACACACATGTCAGCTTTCTCATCCAAATGGAACTTTTATCAAACCACTTTCCACTTACTTTGTAAATGAAGTACTTGATCCGGTGTGAGACCGAGAATGCAGAACATCCCCTTTTGCTCGGTGATGCGCTTCCAGTCTCCAGGTGTGCCTACAAAAAAAATCAGAGACAATTCCATATGAAATCCTGAAACCAAAGGGGGAAAAGTACCAAGTTCAATCAGCCCTTGATATAATTGCCATCGCATTTCCGCGATTCGCGAACTCATCGTGAGGAGATCGTTCCGCCACTGCGCATAAACCTCCTCGTCCTCCAGAACCGCAGCTACGATGCGCGCGCCGAACGCAGGGGGGTTAGAGATCTCAACACGAATCAATCGTGCCAAACTTGACTCGACGGCAGCTGCAATAGTGGGAGTATTCGATGAAAAGGCACATAGTCCGACACGCTCGCCTTCAAAACATTCGACGCCGGTTAGCATAAGAATAGAGAAAGAAAAGCACTAGAATCACGCTCATACCGTAAAGACCCATGCTTTTGGCAAAAGAAAGACACACAGCGATCTCAAGGCCAAGCTCATCAGCAAAGTATCGGATGGCAAATGCATCGCGATCGTAGTCGCCCGAGGTCAATCCCAAGTACGCGGCGTCAAAAAGAGGGAATAGCTGTCGCTCCTTCACAATAGCACCGATATATTTCCATTGATCTGGACTGCAGTCCCAGCCGCTTGGATTATGGGCACTCGCATGAAACACAAAGACGGACTTTGGGGCTGCCTCGTTCAGTGTCTGGATCAATGATTGCATGTTGACGCCGGCACTAGTCGAATAATTGAACTCGCGGACCGCGAGACCAATTGATTCAAAGACTTGGCGGTGATTTGACCAGCTAGGGTTGGTTATATACACGGTTGTATCGCGACCTAGCGCCTGCTTAAGTATTGTTCCGGCGATGTGAAGTGCGCCTGTACCGGACAGAGCTTGACAGGATGCGATCTGGAGGAAGTCAAGCAGTCAATTGATTGATCGTCTAGATAAAGAAAAATAGTACTCACTCGGCCTTCCTGAACTGCAGCAGAATGCTTGCCAAAGACCAAACCAGTAGCCAGTTCCCGAAATAACGGGAGACCTAGGATCGGGAGATATTCATGATTGAAATCCTTGATTTTCTCTTTTGCCGATCGCACTGCGGGCAATATCCAAGGGTTGCCATTTTCATCTTTGTATGTTCCTTGTCCAAGATTCACTTTGCGCGCAGTTGAATCTGCATTGTATGTTTTGGTGAGCTCGAAGATAGCGTCTGGAGGTGTATAGTTCACGACCTCGAAAAATGAAGGAGAAACAGAGCTCATTGTCACAGGTGGTAAGTGATTTTTTTCTGAATGTAAGTAGGATATTCAAATTAGGGAAGTAGCAAAAATCAATTTAGTTATATTAGCCTGTGTTGTGTTGTGTGCCTGTTAATCAAAATAATTGTAGCGGAGCCCCAGTGGAAATCAAGGTGGAGCTCCACCGACGCGCGAGATACTGGACGGCCGAGCTCGATGAATAAGAGGACCAAGTGGAAGCAATAAATAGCTATCAGGTGCGAAAACCGCCAGCAATTTTATCCCTCACATTCAAAAACTACAACAATATGGCAGCAAAGCCCAACTTCGGCGTCTATACGCCACTAGTGACCTTCTTCGAGGAGGACGAGTCCCTCGATCTCCAAAGTACCTTAGCTCATGCGAAGCGTATGGCTGAAGGTGGGGTCGCTGGACTTGTCCTCCAAGGAAGCAATGGAGAGGCTCCTCATCTAGATCATAGCGAGCGCAAGTCTCTGGTGCGCGCTGTCCGCGACCACCTTGACCATCTGGGATATACAGGATTACAGTTGATTGTCGGCTGCGGTGCACCTAGTGTGCGGGAAACGCTTTCCTATATCTCAGAGGCTAAAGCTTCCGGTTCCAATTTCGCTCTCATTTTGCCACCAGCATACTGGGTTGCAGCCATGAATGCATCTGTTATTGAAGGCTTCTTCCATGATGTAAGATACCTCTATATCCGGAAAAAAGAAACTCTCTCTTGTTTTTTGATGTTCTAACAATGCATAAAAACATAGGTCGCATCTCAATCGGAGATTCCAATTCTCATTTACAACTTCCCTGCCGTGACAGGAGGCATCGACATCAGTTCCGACTCCATAATCCGCCTAGCCAAGTCCAGTCCAAATATTGTTGGATGCAAACTCACCTGCGGCAACGTTGGAAAGCTCCAACGTATCTCCTCTGCGTTTTCAGGGACATCATTTGCTACTTTTGGTGGAAAGTCGGACTTTTTCTTGCCTGCGCTCGTCGCTGGGTCGAACGGAATCATTGCCGCACTCGCCAACATTGTACCCAAGCTGCATGTGAAGGTATTGCAGTACTATGAGAAGGGCGAGCTTCCGGCAGCCCAAGAGCTTCAGTCCAAGCTCAGTCATGCTGATTGGGCCCTCACCAAGGTGGGCATTGCGGGTGTCAAAGCTATTGTGTCCCATCATTTCGGATACGGTACAGGCCGGGGACGCAGGCCGCTTGGGAATACAACGATCGCAAGCTTGAGTCAAGAAATTGTGGCTCCGATAAATGAGGTGGTTGATCTAGAGAAAAGTTTGTAAACGTGTCTACGATTGGCATGGGCAACTTGTATATTCAGGAATGAATAAATGAACATGAAATATAAGAGTTAGAAGAAAGAAAATATGAAGCCATCTATACTATCTAGTCAAGAGCCTAAATTCTAGCAATGAGGCTTTTGTGACTTTGGTGGAATGAGTTATATAGCTATATAAGTTGCCTGTAGAACAAGCACTGTTAGCACTAACCACCAGGAACCTTCTCTGGATTCTAGAATTTAACGCTCTTAATTGCAGGTTCAAGCGCCAGGCAACATATATATCTGTTGGAAGAGGTCTACGTAAACGTCTAGGAGCATGGTGCAATGTAAAATGAGATTGTTGATAGTTGTAGAAGCCAAATGCTAAACTAAGATCTAGCCTTTCTTTTAATGGAGGAGGAAAAGGACAAGTCAGGAAAAATTAAGTGAATTTTAGATCAAGCTTCTAGATACAAACACACAAACGTCAAATTTAGTCAGGAGCAAAAGACTTAGTTTCCCTGTCGGCTGTTTTCATTCCAAAAAGATAGGCCCGCTTCCATTCGTCCTGTTCCATAAATGGCTGAACTATCCAAGCACTCACCAGCATATTCGCGTGCTGAGATAAGACGCTTTGATGCGATTTCGAGTGTTGGTAGACGAGTTGAATGACTGGTAGCAATGGAGAGAGCGTGCCTCATGTCTTTGCTTGCAAGGGCGGCTGCAAACCCGGGAGACGTGTCCATCGGCGGTGCATACGCGCCAGTAGTAATACGTTTTGAGTAGCTTTCGAGCACGGGACCGAACATATTGCCAATAAATTCCTCCAGCTGCTGACTACCAATGCCCGTCACTTCGGCGAATACTTGCGCTTCGCCAATCACTTCCATGAAGCTGATAACGAGGATATTTCTGGAGAAAGGAATGAATTAGCTCAATGTTGATGATTGTTTTAATGACTGAATGAATGCCTACCCGGAGATTTTGAGAAGACTGGATTTTCGCACGTCTTCTCCCATATCAATGATGCTGCGTCCCATGACGTTCATGATAAAAGGTTTGATTGTCTCAACTGCGCTAGCGGGTCCGGCTACCGCGAAGATCAGCTTCCCAGCGGCTGCCACGGGGCTAGCACCGAACACTGGAGCAGCTATGAATGTTGCCCCATATTCACTGAGGCGTGATGTGGCCCATGCTGACGTGTCTGGATGAATAGTAGAAGTGTCGACAAAGATTTTGCCTTTCAATGAATCTCCCACCACGAGGGCCTTGTTAAATAATTCAATTAGGACATCATCATTAGAGATCTATTTTGCTTCGTCAGTAAAGCGTACATCCTGTAACAAAAGAAATTCCGTACCATTGTGAAAACCACGTCCGAATTTCGGACGACATCTTCAAACTTCTCTTCAGGTATGGCTCCTTCATCACGAACAAGATCACCTTTTGACAAAGTGCGGTTGCTGTAACGAAGCGACGAATTCTTGCTCTGAAGATATTTTTGGAGATTGAGGGACATTCCTAGGCCCATCGATCCAAGGCCATACTATGCCCGATCAGCAAATGGGTAATCAAATAAATGATTATAACTTACCCAGCCAACTCTCAGTGTGGATGATGTCATTCTGGATCTTTAAATTGTAGCTCGCTTTGAATACTTTCTAAAAACATTCTAGCTTGTTCGCGAGTTTATAACAGACAGCGGTCAAGGTTGACTCAATCTGAGGAGACGAACTGTACATGTGGAGCTCCACTCACTAGGCACCGTCCACTTGGTCCACGGGTATACCCACCGTACACTTGGTCTGATAACAACCCCCCGCAGTTCACTCAGCCCCAGTTCCCGGGATTTCACTCAATACGGCCAGCATGGAAGGTCCAATCCCCCATAAGGATCTTCTCTGACAGAAGGCCTTGATTAAATTGACAAATAGTGGCTCCCCTTCATCGAGCAAACTAACGAAAGCCTCTCGGTCCATGGCCCACAAACGAGGGTCTCGAATCAGCAGGTCATTCTCTGTGGAGTAATTTTGAAGAGCGGACTCCATGAGTGTGTTGAAGATCAACATGCAGGATTCCGAGGTTCTTGGGAGTTCGTTGAATGTGTTCAAGTGGTGGCGGATATCGGCGCTTGCGCGTTTGAGCGCTCCCCAGATACATAATAAAACACCATAACTAGCGACGGTGACCCAAGGTGCTTCGCGGACCGCTTTATCCTGCTCCTGCCCGGAGATACTGGACAGTGCGTTAGATAAATCATTCAGAAGAGCCACAATGCCCTCATCGCCACCGACATGGTAAGGAACAAGTGGCGCTGATCGCCGGATCGCGACAAGGTTCCCTTGAGTCAGGTGAGTGGAAGCAGCCATCCCAGCTATCAAGCTGTTATCCACAATGCCCGCTATCAAGAGCTGATCGGGGCGACATAAACTGATTTTGAGAGAAGAAACAAAGAGCTCGTTCGTTCTCCATAAGAGAAACTGAGGGCTATCACCGGTATAAGCCTGCTTCTTGACAATCTTCGCGATTGCTTCTATTGCTGTGTGCACTTGTTTATTCTGAGCCTGAGTCAATATGTGAAACGGATTTGGATCGGATGGACTGGGCGGCATTTGATAGTAACACCGCGTAAAGTCGCGCACAAGAGCACCTATGTTCGTCAGGACACAAAATGCGGCAAAGGGGGATGCTTCTAGCGCTGCTAAAAGTTCAGAGTCCGGCGTTTCGGTCATGAGTTGCTGAGTAGCAATTGTCAGAGAGGCCGTACCTAAACCGCGTGGCCCGTGTAACAAACTGTTGGCAATTGAAAAGGTCGAAAGTCCAAAATTCTCATTAAACCTCAGAAGCCATATTTGAGAGTTCTTGGCTTCCCACATATCAATAGGGAAGGGAAGTTCCCAGCCAAGTTCCATCGGTGACATCAAAGGCCGTGAATTGCAAGGCGAAAATGTGTGTGAGTCCAGGAATACTAGTGTATACAGCGACAGTCTCATCGATTCAGTGGTAATATAGGACGTCCACCGTGTGTAAAGAGTCTGCGAATTATCTCTTGGTGAACTGAAATCATGCTGGTACATCCAAGACTGGGCATCCGGCATAGCGATACCCTGTTGGAATAGACCAATTTCGTGTACAGCCTATATCAAAACATAAGCCTAAGTAAAGGAAGTAAAAGAAGAGGGAATGACAGAAGACAATACTGACATCGACAAGTTGCCGTAGCATCTTTTTAACGGTCTGGAATTGGCCTGCTTCGCTTGCGTATACCCCATATATTATATAGAGAAGCCACGCTTGCATAGCCCAGGGTTGTCTGAGCTCACTGCAGTTCGAGGAAACCTATTTCAATATTGATTAGAAAATTGCTTTCAGACGACACGGGAGGAAGATCTCATCATGTACCATATGTCGAAGCTCCTCCTGTCCACTTTGCCATATGTCTTGACGCCAGTGTGCGAGAGCTTGGGTATCTTCATGGTCATATAAGTTGGGAGAAAATAAACTCCCAATGACAGTGACGGCTTTCAGTAGTAACTTCGGCGTCGATGATACAGTGAATGTAGGTCGATGCAATAAAGGGAAAGACGGGTGGAAATGCTCAAAATACTGTTTGACGTATGTCTCTTCGCTATTAGCGTGATTACTGTGGGTTACTTCCATTGTTAGACGTTTCATTTCAATCAATAAGCCCCCCTTGATATCAGGCGCAATTAACACAAATTAGCTCAAGACAAGCATACCTCGGCGAGGAAGATGAAAAACTCTGGGGTAATTCAGTAGCAAATGTACTATGTTCTTCCCGAAAATCTTCGTCGGTCACAACACGTTCGGGTGGGTTACGGTCGGTGGTCAATGGGGAGGCTATGCCGACCATTGCCTGAGAGGCATGCATACTCTCCCATGGCACCTGTGGCTGAGATATCCGAATTGAAGATCCTGTCGCACGGCAACGATCACCATGTCGTTTATATACGTCGCTGCAAAATTATCAGCGTTATTGCAATGCATGGCGGATATGAAAATGTAAACAAGACCTTCGAGAGAATCGAGCATGACATCTGCTACACTGGAAATTCTTGCGCGAAGGGCCGCCATGACCTTGTAGGATATCAATACTCCGTACTTGATATTTTTTAAGGAATATGAATATTCATATAGACTCACGTGCACGCTTATGCCGTTGTAGGTTTTCCTTCAGCAGAGCGTCAGAACTAGGTAGAGAAGATAAGGAGCTTCGGTACTTACACTCCGCGTGAACAACTTTGAACATTCATCACATGGAAAGGGACGATGCTGATCGATGCTGCTCGTCATACCTGAGGTGTTGGTGATTTGATTCATTTGATTCATTTTACGGGGATAGAATCCCGACGGGAAAGATGGTGACTCCACGGGGCCACGTGCCATTTATCTTCCAACCTTAAATTGATAAGCTGAACTTCTGATATTGACAGGAAGATCTTGGATTTTGTGTATTGGATTCTTATATATGTAAAATTCAATGGCAGAAGATTTAATATGTTAAGGAAGGAGGTGTTGGGCAGGCGGTTTTTTGTGCTTTTGATGCCCTATTCTTCAGGCACCCCTCACACCCGACTAGCTTGGATTTACATAATGTTTCCAAAATCAGTTACTATAACTAACTAGTTATGCACTTGAATTATTTAGTTATCCATTGTATGATGATATTACAAACATCAGAATAGTCAGCTCCATTACCTTCAACTAAGGCAGGCTGTCCGTGAAACTAACCGGTATCGGCCTTCCGGCGTAGACCCCGCGTTGTGGAGATTCGGCCTCGAACACGAGAGGACCATTCAATTAGTTCTGGCCATTGGACCCCTATACTGTATGAAATCCCCAATTTGGCAAGATGAACACAAGGCACTATAACATCCCTATTGGCGCTATAGCTACTTTTCGCTCGAAAATTTTAAGGGAGGTCAAGGAGATGTGATTGTGGTGAAAACCCAACTGAAAGTCCTTATCTGCTGAGTGGCCTATCTTTTATATTCCAATGCTACAGTGACAACCTTGGATGAACCTACACACTCACTAGGTCCTAAGAGGCTAAGTTGAAATGTTCAAGTGTGCCCAAGGTAAGCGCAATGTCGCATCATGTGGACCCGGGAAGATCAACTCCGATCCTTCTTAATGTCACCCCTGTCCGTCTGAACCATTTACTTGCAATCCATGAAACTACCCAAAAGTCATGGCTTCCACGGATCTCCAAAAGCAGGTTGGCCAGGTACATGAGTCCTGAAGTCCCTTCTTTGTAAATCTCCACTAACGATGACAGCTCTTCGCGGTGGGGTTCTATGGCTGCACCCCAAGTCCCGAAATCAAGACTTTGATCCATGACTACCACGTTGGAGGGATCGTCCTCTTCTCGCGAAATTTTGAGAATGCAGAACAGCTTCAGGTGTGATATTCGAGAATATATAGTCCTTGATTAGCTTGGCTAATCTTCTGTAGGCCTTGACACTGGCTTTACAGGATGAAGCCAAATTAGCTGGACATGAGCGACCGCTGTTGATCGGAATTGATCAAGAGAATGGATTGGTCACTCGTATTGCTCCCCCGATCGCTCCCCAGGTTCCAGGGCCTATGGCACTTGGCGCCACGCATGACCCGGAGTGCGCATACAGTGCGGGGAAAGCCACAGGGGAAACTCTGAGTTTCTTCGGAATCAACATGAACTATGCACCAGTGTGCGATATCAACTCGGAGCCTTTGAACCCTGTTATCGGTGTTCGCAGCCCTGGAGATGACCCTGAATTTGTGGGCCGGTTTGCGAGTGCGACCGCGCGCGGTCTACGACAACATCACATCGTTCCCAGTGTAAAGCATTTTCCAGGTCATGGAGACACAGCCGTTGACTCGCATTTTGGACTACCGGTGATTCCTAAAACAAGGGATCAACTGGAGCGTTGCGAGTTGATCCCCTTTAGGCGCGCTGTCGCTGAAGGCATTGAGACCGTCATGACTGCTCATATCTCGCTGCCCTGTATCGATCCCACGCTGCCTGCAACGCTTTCCCCGGATATTATGGGGATTTTACGCAAGGACATGGCTTATGATGGTATGGTCATCACAGACTGCCTGGAGATGGATGGAATCCGCGCCACATACGGTACAGAGGAAGGCTCGGTGCTAGCGTTGCGCGCTGGTAGCGACAGCATCATGATCTGTCATACCTTTGATGTGCAGGTGGCTTCAATCAAGAGAGTTTGTGAAGCAATAAACTCGGGCACAATTGATGAATCACGACTGTTGGATGCCTGCCGCCGTGTTGCTACGGTGAAGGACAAGTTTTTGAACTGGGACACCGCTCTTCGGCAATCTGATCTCACAGAGCTGAGCTCGCTCAACAATAAAATTACCGAGATAACCATGGATATATATTCTCGGTCAACTACACTGGTTCGTGACAAGAATGGTGTTCTCCCCCTGTCAAAGAATTCAATCATAATATTCCTCTTCCCCGGAGACAAGACCCCAATCGGCGGTGCAGTTGATGGCGAAGGAACGGAGATACCAGGAGTATACCAGTCCAACAAATATCTCGATGTGTTGCGACAACACAACAATTCCATTGCTGAGATCAAATACGGAGAGACCGGTCTCACTTCGGAGCAATGGCGAATGCTTGAAGTCGCCGATGCGGTGATTTTCACTTCATTTAATGCAAAGGAGTCGCCATACCAAAAGTCCCTAGGCCTAGAACTTGCTGAACGTGTTCAATCATTGGTGCATATTGCTGCCTGCAACCCTTATGACTTCCTTGATGCTCCTAGTGTCAAGACTTATATCACCACATATGAACCGACTATCGAGGCTTTTTCTGTGGCCGCCGATATCATGTTCGGGTCACTAGTTCCGACAGGTGCTCTTCCCGTTGGAACTAATGATATGATCAAGACATCTGCGGTAGTAGCGCCATTTGATGCACAGCGAGATCTGGATGAGATTTTCGAAGTCTGGGCTGCTGCTCTCCCGACCTACCTTATTCCAACTGAAAGTTTACGGTCTCTGATAGTGCGCCCGTATGGCCATCATTTCGTCGCGCGGATTGGATCGCAGCTGGTAGGCTTCTGTCTTGCTTACACTAATGACCACGGTGCACCAGACACTGTTTACATCGCAGTTCTTGCAGTATCACCAAAGTACCAACGACAAGGCGTTGGAATTGCCCTACTAGAAGAAACGAGAGCATACTTCCGGGCAACCTTTGGCCTCAATACTGTGAAGCTGGGCAGCTCGTTCCCCCGCTTCTGGCCTGGGATTCCCCAGGACCTTCCGGAAACAGTGCAGCATTTCTTCACTCACCGTGGCTTCCGACTCAATCCGCCCAGTACCCGATCGGTTGACTTGTACCAAGATATTCGGAACTTTCAGTCCCCTGAGAAATATATCACTCGTGCCCGGGAGCGAGGCTTCCGTTTCGCGCCATTAAAGGCTGAAGATTACGAAGCATGTCTGGTCGGTCAAAGAAGAAACTTCTCTAATAATGGGGTAAGGCCCTTGCGCTTATAATTTGCTAGAACCTATACTAATGTGTTATAAAGAGTTGGGTGGAGGCATACGTCGCATTACATCCTGACAAGTATCCTAACAGTGTGATGACAGCATTCGACTCCCAAGGCCAGCAGGTTGGGTGGACATTAATGCTCGGTCCATCAGATGCTCTGAACACTTCTTGGGCATTCCCCCAAACCTGTGGTCCGAAGACAGGGCTGATCGGTGCTGTGGGAATTGATGAGTCCCACCGCAAGTACGGCATTGGGTTGGCATTGATCTGCCATGCTATCGAAAACATGAAACAACGAGGTCTTGAGGGCGTCTTTGTGGACTGGGTTGCACTCAATGGGTGGTATGAGCAAGTTGGCTTTAAGACCTGGCGAAGCTACAGACCTGGAGAGCTTTGAGCATTCCATCAATATTGTCTCTGGTGTTATTCTTAAGAGTTTAGCTTCGATGACAGGAAGTATTGATATGCATAATTCAGACATGTACTTATGGTATTGCTACCATAAGCTTGACTTGTTTATTTGTACGACTTATTGTTGGTCCTGTTACCAGAATCCCAAAATCAATCAATCAATCAAAGTTCAACTAATCTGTTGCAGTCTAACTAGTTGCGTATGACTATGCAGGCGCTTCATCCAGCTGAAGCAAGAACTCGAAGCCAGACGCCGAGTTGGGATTACTCCCAAGAGTAGATACAGAGGCCGATTTATAAGGAGTGTGGAATCAGCCCATTCCTATATGTTATAAACCCACAGACCCAAAAGCCCACATATAAGGAATATATACATATAATGAATGCGGCGGAATGCACCCTCCGCCTTCTATCTCTCTCCTCTTCCCTATATCCTCCCGCCGCTCTAGTTGCACTTAAAGGTGTCTTATTCACGGCTAGTTACCCGGTATACTTGTCGACTCTAGCTAAGCTTCTCGTCTCTTAGCTTCGTTTTCGTTATTAGCTAATACCTATCGTCTTCCATGATGTAGTTATTTCACAAGCGAGTAGCCCACCCAAAGAGCGGGAGTACTCGCTGGTCGACGACGAGGAGATGCAAGCGGGAGAGATATAGTCCTTCTTAGACCTTGCCAACTCCCACGGGACTAAAAATATTTTGGTCCCATTACCCCGTCACTCCCATATGGTCCCACGCTAGCATATTTCGGCTATATATGTAAGTCTACGGAGTACTGACTGTTTGGATAAAATACTATTATTTATGTGTATGTTACTTTAATTGTTAATAGACTTCCGCACCGGCCCATAAAGCCCAAAACCTAACCCGAACCAACCTGTAACCTGTTTCTCCTAGATGGTGTATGTATTATTTGCCTAGGTAGTAAGCGCATATTGCAAAATCATACATATTTCAAGGAACCACTTAGAATATAGAAGCGTGGTGGCTTATAACCGGCCCTTACTTTTTCTTTTACAAAAAATACAGACCCTCGTACCCCTCCTCGCAAGCGAGGGTCCGCCACCCATATGCAAAGTACTAGTACTGATAGAAAATATGATGTGAAGCAGGGTATGATATGGTCAATGAATATGCATAACTCCGACTAGTAAAACATGACAAAATCCGTGTTTTGAACTTGGAACCTGCCCAGGTGTCCACTGCCGACATGGCTGACTCATTGTAAATACACCCGGGGCCGTTTTGTATGGTACCTATCCATGGATGCCGGGTACTGGTTGTCACATGGCATTCTCGGGTACAATACCCCGTTTTAATCGAGTATTGCATGCCGATTTCCGACAACTACCCAAATGCCGAAAAATTTATACTTATTACTTCAACCTTCATTTACTACTCTACAACGTAGTAAATTAATCAATTAAAAAAATTTAAGAAATGAATTAGCTATTTTACTACTAGAATACAGAAAAAGATCAGTTCCCTCGACGTTCCTTGGCCTTTCCATACTTCCTGATTTCGATCAATACCTTCTTCTACTTCTGCTTCGTTTTTTCTTGATCGGCTTTTTCGCTCAATTTATACTCTTTTCTTTTGATATCTTTAACTTGATTGGAGATACTAGTGATTGGTAAATGACGACCAGGAGTATCGTACTAGGCGTAGCATACACCTGTAATGGCTTGAGTATTGTCGAAATCTAAGTAGACTTCCGCAAAGCCCACAAATGGGCCCCCACCCTAGGCCCAAAGCCCAACCCGTAGCCCACTAAGAGGGGGCCCATGAGGCCCCCATTAAAGCCCATCTTATCGGCCTCTGTAATCGCTGTATCACGACCTTCTACCTACAGTCATATTTCATGAGTATTTGCACCCCAGTACTTCCTAATGCTTTTAATGTACTCTCTTCTATTGTGGCCTGCATGCTGGAGCTTCTACCATACATATATATAAGCGTGTATGTAAGCCTTCTACTTACTAATTATTACTTAATGCGTTCAATAAAGTATTAACAAGCAGAAGGAAGGTGGCCTGAAAATTTTGGTAGTACTGGGGTGCAAATACTCATGAAACGCCACTGTATCTTATAAAGCGCAAATTTATTTTCTAGGTTTATAGTAGCTATACTAGTATACATAATTTTTTTATATAGGATCCGACTAGTAGAGGACGAGATATCGCGGAAAGTGTTAATTTTGATATTTCAATCTCGGATATATATTTATGATTTACATGGGAGTACTACCACTTTCTAGAGAACTCTGTAATTTATAAAATTTCTAAATAAACGCGTTTTTTTATATTTTTAAACGTGATTTAAAGAAATAACTAGTCAGTAATCGATTCTAGATTATTTGAACTGATATAATATTACATTAGGGATAAGGCTTAGAAACGGGGGTCAAACGAAGGGTAATTTAAAAACCCTTTTAGGGGGTTCAACTTAGTATGTTTGCATTGTTTGGGGCCTATTTACGGGTTGGGTCGGGTTGGGCTTTGGGCTTTATGGGCCGGTGCGGAAGTCTACTAGTAAGCCAACGTAGCTATGCTTTAGCTGACCCCTATCTCCATGTTGTAAGGATCTTTATCCATGAAATCCTCTCCTCTAGTGCTTATACTACACAGTCATTGTATCTTACCCGGTTGACAGGCCTTACACCTGAAACCAGTATACTCTTACACACAAGGCAAATCATATCAGTCCTAATATCGATACAACAGAAGGAATGGGCCAGTATTAGAACAAGTCTTCTTAAGTTAAGCCTAGCTACCGCAAAATTGTCATTTATAATACGTAATGAAAAGGAGCTTTACTTCTACCCTTACAAACCCTCTAGTTAGTTATAGGAAGGATTAGTTCCCGAATCGTGTCTTATATGCAGCCGCCAGACTTTCGACATAGACGACGACTTGTCGATAAGGTATTACGCTGAAGGGGAGATTTTACTGATCCGTGACTTCCATATGGATATGTCTCACATTGGAGGTATTCCCCAAGAATGTAGTTTCTAGCGGTGTGTACTGGAGACGGTTGAAGCTAGACCTGGCAGTGACCCTCCATTTGGACCCGCCAAGGCGCTAAGGAGGGTCTAAAGTCAGGATCCTAGACCCGCCAAGAAACTTATGAAATAATATGCTTATAACCCATGTTTTATGTATATTTATGTAGAACTCCAGGTCTTGGCGGGTCGCTGGACCCTTGGAGGGTCCAAGGTCATGGACCACCCGGAGGGTCACTGCCAGGTCTAGCAACTTGAAGCATATGCTTTGTTCGGTAGTTGGCGCGTTCTTAGTCTTGCTTTGTAGACGCTCACGCGTTCTCCAGTATACTCGATACGGCTTATGTGCGGTCAATAATTCGGTTCCTAGGATCTCCAGATCCCGGGAGTGGACTGGATAGCCCCGGGGAACGAGAGGTGGTACCCAGGGAAACTGTTCTTCCGATAGAACCCGTCCTGGGACAGTTATCTCATGTGGGATTGTCGATAGAACCTCGCGCTAATGCACAAAGCCTCACATTGTTGCCTATCTCCAGCTAATCACACACAATTCATTATGTGCCGCCGGGCCTGGCCCGAACCAAAGCATCGTGCCGCACTAGAGCCTCCGAGACATGGTATTCATGTATATTATACAGGGTTCCACACTCAGTTCATATAGTGTCACAGTCAGTCTAGATCACTTAAACACGGACGAAGGCTGTGAAGTGCGCGCATACACGTAGGTTTTGAAGTTGGCGAGCAACTCATACCAGCTGCTTTTTAGGTCTAGGGTGCTTGCCATGTTGCTGATTGTATGACAGCACATATGTACCGAAAGGTCTGATCAGGGCGGATCATGCTCTTGATCTAACGGCAGATAGATCGGGCATGTCCGTAACAGCCACGTCAGTAGCGGGCTTTCATTTTTCCTTACCTGCCCGTGGGTTTTCGCAAAAAGCTCACGGGTACCCAAATTACCCATGAAAGTGCATAATAAATGCATACAATCACATGAGTTTTCGTTATATTGGTGATCAATTTTTATATCGATTTAATATTGGCAATACCGTCTCCTGGAATCATGATAAAAAAAGCCAATACTGTTGCAGCAACCGCACCATATTCTGAACCTCACTACCCCTCCCACACCCAGTCCCGCAGACTCTCAATGTCAAGCATTATGCAGGGGTCTGTCTGCAACGGTAGCATTGCGATAGCAATGCGGTGGCCAATAGTTACTCATGATTTCGAATGTCAAATTGATGTCAACTTTTAGCGCGTGGCATGACCGCAAGTCCCCGACAGGTTATTTAAGAGGAACAACATACGCAAAGAAAGAACATACTCAGAATACATACTCAACTTGTTTCTATACCACAATGCTCTTTCTACTATTAGTCACCATGCTTCTGAACCCATTTCGACCATGCGAGGGCTCACCAACCTTCCAAGAGGAGTATCGGGGCAACTACGTACCAAAGGTTATCGAAACAGGACATGGCCTCCAGGTTGCGGCGCCGGATACTCCATACGTGGCAGCGGCCGGTCCAGACAAGTTATACTTCATCGACACCCGGTTCGATATTGAGACTGCAAAGCACATAAAGGAACAAATCGAGAAGGCAACTATACCGAACCCGGAGGAGTATGTCGCCATAGACGAGGTTTTGGCTACGGCGGAATTGAAAAACTCTGTGACCGGCGAAACAACATTCGTGTTTGACCCCCCTATGCCAGGGTGCTGTTTGCAAAGGGAATGAATAGGCACAACCCGGAGCTCAAACTGCCTGAGCATGAGCCCGCCGGCGATTGGTTGGTGACCTACGACCTAGGAAATACACTTACGAAGCGGGCTAATTCCTGCTACGATCTTGGCTGTCACTCCGCCCAAGACTGCATACGGCAGTCAAATGGCAACTGTCGAATCTGCCACCATTATAGGGTTGACAACGAGTGTGACCAACCGCTGACTAATGCCATCGGCCTATGCCACCCTCTTTGCTCGAAGGCTGTCGACACACCAAAGGAAGATGGAGAGACGGACGCCAGCTACTATCAACGGATGGAAAAGTTGCACTGGGCCTAAAAGAGCTGTGCCGGGTGCGGAATTGGACATCAATTCTAAGGGGATGAGCCAAGTGACTCTAGGCCTACTTGTGTTAGTCAATATTTTTAGGGTGCTCTATTTAGTATTTCGGCTGACAAGGAATGCAGGCATCAGTGCCTTGATCTACCGGCATCAGTTTCCATCCGAAACGTCAAGGGAAAACTGACCGGCGCTTCTATCCGTCTGCGGCAACGCCTGCTCAACTTTGAAAAAAAGACATGTTAAACGGAGATTTCAGCCTGGGCTACAGGAGGTAGCGAAAACGCAAGGGAGGGAGGAGGATAGTGGTGTGTGTTCTTCTTTGCTCTCTTTTTGTATGGTAGCCAGAACTCGTGGGTCCTGGACATATAACTAGGGGTTTCCCCCGAGTTCCCAGGGGAGACAGTCATGGATATTTGTTATCACATTTCTACTTCTCCTGAAGGCTCAAATCCGCTCGACTGTCACGGTGTTCCATTGATCATTTAACCCTTTCATCAACAGTAGATAGGTCTAGACTGAAGAGTAGGAGTCTATCGTATAAAGGTAGCTTACTCTGAGCATCCAAGCGAACCAGCAACCGGGAGCTTTCGCTGTAGCCCTCAAATTTTCAATCACACGAATGAAAGCTGTCGGAATATAACATGTAATATTGGATGAAAACAGGGTATTGTACCCGAGAATGTCACGTGACACAGGTACCCGGCGTACATACAAGCTGGAGCCCTGAAGCCCTGCCCTGACAGAGAGTTCAACAACAAGAGTCACCCAGGTTCACCCTGAATCAAGGCCTTCTTCGGGTTCAACACGGTCAATGATCAGATAAAAGTAACTTGATTAAAGATTAAAATCTCTTTTAAACTAAAAATAGGACTGGTGATCTGGATTTAAATATGAACCAGATTCTGCCAGCTTCTCCCGCTTACAGGAGTTAAGTAAGCCTCCACCCTCTCACCCCGTGACAGCCCAGGTGCCCATCCATCCATGGATGTATTTACAATTACTAGTAGTCAGCGATGTCCGCAGTGGACCCGTGCCCCGGTGGACCCTGGACAGATGGATTGTCTAAAAGGCAGATTTTGTCATATTTTACTAGTAGTCAGAGTTATGCATATTCATTGACCATACCATACCTTGCTTCACACAAGATTTCTGTCATAAGGCGTTGTGGTGCAGTTTCAAAAATTAGATTCGCGCAAAGATATGTGTTTTTTCCAGAAAACCAAAATACTACCATCAATCAATGCTTATCAGTAGTTGTCATGGCATCAATCTTGGCCCGGCACTTCCGGAAGTTTTCAGCCCTCTCCTCAGGAGTCCAAGTCGAACGAGGAGAATTCGCCCCATTTTGAACAGCGGCACGCTTATCGATCTCCTCAACCCACTTCTTCAAGGCGGGGAACTCAGACAGATCAATCTCCAAGGTAACAGGAGCCCCACGAACCCAAGAAAAACTTGCAATATCGGCAATAGTATACTTGTCACCCGCGAGGTAAGGACTTTCCTTCAATCGCGATTCTAGGACCGAGAACAGACGCTTCGTCTCGTTGATATACCGCTGGATAGCGTAATCAGAGCGCGTGTTGGCGAAGAGACGGAAGTGGTTTGCTTGTCCTATTAGGTATTAGAGAGGCACTGAAGCACACCTGCAAGGTTCGTTATCTACACGCACCTTGCATAGGCCCGAGTCCACCCATTTGGAACATTAACCAGGAGGTTTGTTCGGCGTGCTCAGGAGTGCCAGGGGCGTAACTGATCTTGCGATCGGTGTCGTACTTGTCGGTCAAATATGACATGATTGCTCCGCTCTCGAAAACGCGCGTGGAGCCATCGAGCAGAGCGGGGATACGGCCATTGGGATTAATCTTCAAGAACCATCTGTCCAGTGGGTTTCATTAGCATATTGTAGCATATCGTGCCTGGGTTGTGAAGAGAGTCGTACTCTTCTTTTTGGGGATTCGAGCTGGAGTTGATATCAATAAATTCAGCTTTATAAGGAATCCCAAGCTCCTCGAGAGTGATGGAGGCTTTGATACCATTTGGCGTGGGCCAGGTATATAGAGTGATGTTTGAAGACATTGTAGAATGTGAGTACAGTCTTGATGAGAGTCGGGATAGTCGTGATACAGTGTTCAGTGAACGAGAGAACATCTGGAAGAATAATGACAGGATGCAACTAAATATAAGGAGCTCGCAGGCGTCCACAGATGGCCCCGGGGAACCTTGGAACCTCGATGCCTACATTTGTCAGCTCCCCGCAGTACCTAGGTACCTAGGAGGTAATTGTGCTAAGCGCCCAACACACCTTCTCTGTGTTGGTGCGCCCCACTCAACGATAATTCCCACTCAACGATAATTTCTCCACCAACAATTGTATTGAAATCAATATTTACAGGTAACCACCAGTAGTATCTATATACCAATTTGTACCCTTACTAAACCTAGCTACTACTGAAGCTTTATACTCAGTTCCAGCTAAATCCCTTACTTCCTGAGCGCGTTGTTAAGCTTCTAAATCCTTGGTATACTTTGCCTGTAAGCGCTTTAACTTTTTAAGAATCAGTATCCTACCTTTTTACTATCTACCGGTTAGCACAAAGTGGTAAAATGATATTACCTCTAGATCTAAGAAGCGATTTCCTGTTTCTTAGGGTATTTGTACTTAAACTGTTAGTACGAGCCCTCTTTAACTCAGCCTTTAAAATAGTAACCTCTTAGGAAAAAAGCGTATTTGGATCTATACTCCGCTGAATATACCGCTTAATCTTCTGGGATTGAAGTGATTACTACCTGTGCTTTATAAGATAGTATTAGCGGTATTTTTTAATAAGGGAAGGGGGTATTCCAATTCCAGAGTTATATAAAGCTTTGATCTAGGTTTTCAATACTCTCTCTTGAAGGGGGTTTAATACCTTCTTTTGACTGGTAGCTTCGCTTTTAGTCTGACGGCTATAGATTCGGGCGCGTAATCGTTGGTACGGAACTCCAAATTCCCGCGCCAATTCCGCGATATTCGATCTATCGTTTTGATAGAATACAACGATAGCCTTTGGGATTTGATCCTCGACGTTTTCAACTGAATTTGACATCGTGGTGTAGTTGAAAATACTAAGAAAGTTGATATAAAAGAGAAAAAATTATCGTTGAATGGGAATTATCGTTGAGTGGGGCGCACCAACACAGAGAAGGTGTGTTGGGCGCTTAGCACAATTACCTAACTAGGTATCCGCGGAGATAAAATCGCGTCATCTATGGACTGGATATTCGCCGAAGTACTCAATTTTATTATACCTCTATGTAGTTCTCATACTAGAGTGGCACTGGTATGTACCAAGGTAGATAGAACATTTCCCATTTCCCAGGTGAAAGTCAAATTTGCTGTGCTGCCAAAGCATGGTACCAGCTTCCATTGAGGCTTTGATACCCCTGGACTTGATTCATGGGCTACCTAATTGTGGATGTCCGGCTAGGCAGTGATCGAACTCTTCCAGTATCAAAGTGCGTGCCAGCAAATGAACATTTGAAATTAGAGATATCAGCTTTATTTGAAACTTTCAAACTTTCTAGGGACCGTATATCCTTAAAAGCATGCTTGATGTTTGAATTTATCAAAACTTAGCTATTTTCAACCCTGGAGTGGTTGTAAAGAAATATATTCATGTATGCAGTCGAGAGTGCAGGTGAGCCTCTAGACAGGCACATCCGTTTACCCACATCATAATTATACCTATGGACCCAGAAGAGCTTGACTATGAGGGTGAACGGGCTACACCGGATACCTGGGAATATCAACTAGCTGTTGATTATAACCTTGGGAAATGCACCCCTATTATGTGCGACCCCGAGATGAGTAGAGTAACCTTTGAAGGGGGCGAACTTTTTATAGAATCTCCCCGATGACCGGAGAGCTGTTTGAGATCAATTTCCCAGAGACGCTTTCCCGGAGACGCTTGGTGAGATAATTGCTGTTACGAAGGGAGAAGGGCGACGAAAGAGACTGCAAATGAAGAGGCTCGGCTGAAGTGAAAGTAGAAAGGCAACATTATCTCCGCGGGGAGACCTGAAAGAAGATAGCAGACCCTTACTTCGGTTGCCAAGAGCTTATACGTATGCACGATGGCACAGTTGCCAACCTTCCTTGCTAGAGCAGATCAGCTAGAGGGCATGCTCGAGACATTTCGGGATTGCTGCGAGTTCTATCCGGTGAGCAAGGGACTATGAGAAGGCGGGAGAAGCAAACCCGAAATTTAGAAGGAGCTTTAGAATGGAAAAGCAAAGTTTTCGAAGTAGCAGACATTATGTGATACAATGGAGTAGCCGTAGCCGTTCAAGCGCAACAGGCATCTGACCTGCTCGGTATTCACACCATTAGAATCAAAGAAAAACTTCAAAAGTAACAATAATGAAATTCTCCATCTTTGCTCCCGTAGATTAAGCTTTTACCCCCTGTACAGTTTCGATTGGGGGGCCATGTTACAGTGGTTCTCTTTGTTTGACCTAAGGCAACACTACATAGTAGCACCAGGAAAAAAGCGATATAGCTATTAGTTTATCCTGAGCTGGTTTCAGCGAATCTATACTCGTTTTGATCATTTTCAAAGACTGTCATCTTTAAACCTTTTTACAATAGCATCAATCCCCTGGGACTTGGATAACATAGAACATCACCTATAAATTCTCAACATATATTTCCTTTCACTTTCGATGGCGTTTTCTGGGGCGAAGAAAACTGAGTAAAGCATCTCGGATTCGCTACCCTTCGAGAACTGCATATGGGAGCAATGGAATACGAGGGTACTTCGTGGGACTTGATGCTATATGCTTTGTCCCTTACAGCAGGGCGCACAGAGGGTACCTTCCAAGGATGCATTGACCACGTGAATTATTCCCCAGTTTCCAGTTTAAGAGTCACTAGATGTTCAGGTGCAGACCTGCAAGGGAAATCCCTTTGTAGAAGGACAACTATCGCAGTGCATAGCAAACCCTAGGGGCTATCAATACGGAATAAAAGTTGCAAAGGCAGAAGATCTTGCAATGCGTCAGTACAATAAATTATCAATATCATCTGAATCAGTTCCTTTGCAAGGAACTAGGAGTATTCCTCTGGAGGTCACTATGGAAAATGATATTGCTATGTGGCTTTGGGTCATCCATCTCCTAGCAGCGGGATTTGTGACGGTCGATGATGGCTCAGGATCTGTCATCAAACACGGTACCTACCAGGATTGGATGCTTGATTGCCAATGCTGCCATGCTATCCTTCTCACCAAGAGCCAGTTTAAGACTTGCCTCGTAGAATAACCTAATACACAAGGGGCACTCTGCATCTGACATATCAAGTACGGTATACATACTCGGTATTAATTTGAAAGGCACAGGACAAGCTGAAGTGGGGCAACAGTAAATGACTCAAAGGGATGGGATCACAGTATCCTTTTGCGGCAAATTGTTAGTGTCATGACTCTCATATGGGGCGTTGAGATGTTACAAAAGCATCTCCAAATATTTGCTCAAGGGATAAACCAGTTGGGGTAGAAACCTGTCGATCCCCACATGGCCAGCCACGAGCACTTTAGCGTTGCAATCTCCAGACACGGCCCGCTCGAGCCTCGGTGAGAAATACCATGTCGCCGGAGACGGCCACACTCTGGTTTCTGCGCTTGATAAGTGATGATGCGATCATCCTTTAATGTGCCGCTTTAGGATCAGCACTTGGCCACGTTCCGGGAAACACGTTGTTTTTCGTGGGGATTTGACTTAGCAAGATAATCGGATTGGATTGGAATAATTGCCGGGTCTGGGGTTACATGGACTAATGCACGGTAACTCACGTCGGGGCACTCGGCTTGCAGGGGAACGGCATAATTCCAGCCGCAATACGGAGTAATCGGGATCGAGTATCCTTGGAGCAAAGTAATATTTCCCCACGGTTTTTTATGCCGACGGTCTCCAAGGGTAATTCGTCCCCGAAGAGTTAAAAGTTGAATCTGACTATTTCGTACACTTAACTGCGCTAAGATTAAATGTCTCTTCCGCAATTTGCCCCGGATTTCATTCTTGTTCTTTTTCATTTTTGACTAAATTCGAATGGGTTTCAATTCCGTAAGTTTGTCATTTCCTATAGTTCCTATAAAATAAAAAGAATATAAGTCTCAATGCGGCTCCCAAAGGTGAATATTCCGACCACGTGAACCTCCATGTAAAGTCACCGGAAACAAGCCTAAAGGGCAGGGATTAGCGTGATTTAAGCCTAATTTAGCGTCGATGAATCGACTAGTCGCCTGTGGGCACGGGCCATAATTATTGGCGAAAATAGTTTGGGCGTTTGTTTGAGGGCTACCGTAGCGCGGTGCCTTTGAATGTGGCGCCCAGAGACGCCAAGAATATCGAGAGCGATCCTGATACCAAGAATTGTTTTCCATATCTGAATTTGATGGGGATTAGGAATCGGGCTGTAGGATTTAATTGCATAATATGTAGACAAGGATGGCATAATTAGCAGGGGGTAGATCTGGGGCTTAACGGCAGAAGGCTTACTTTCACGTCGGGATTGAACCGGTCTAGATCGGGATCCAAGTCGAAGTCGAAAAGCCTAGAGGTTTCTTGTCTAGATGCTTTTAGCTGTGCTTAGGCCGCGAGAGTTGTTCATCCTTGTTTCTAGTACTTGGCATTAGGGAATGTAGCAGAGCACTCCTGATGTAGCATTTTGCCGAGACCAAGTCTTTCCACTAAAGGCCGAAGGCTTATCGTAAAAGTGGATTATGTATTTCATGTATCTCCATTTTCTTTGGGGTTCGGGATTTCCCCATGGGCAATCCAACACGGGATCCCCGGATTGTATCCGTTTCGGGAAGCAGATCAGATAGAAGTCATGACAATTACGCACCTTTTTGGCTTTGGTCGTGAGGATTTGACGTATTTTACCACCCGGCCAATGAGATTATGTAGTTCTTGTCAAACGGACTGGTCTGGGAAAATAACAGATACAGAACATAAAAAGATGCCCCCTCCCCCCCCCAGGTCAAGAGTTACCATTCACGACTTTGTTTGCCTTCAAAGTCTCACTCTCAAACAAGATACTGCAGTAATCAAAGCTGTTGGTTGGTTCTTTCCAACTCTTCTTCTCCATCAACCTTTCTGTTTTTTTTCTCTTTCCACCACACCATAAGAGTCAGCTCCATCCACAGCTCTGGTTTCTTTCTTGATCCTCATTAATAGCTTGATCAGACACTACGTCTCCAAGATGGCTAATGAGAACATCACTCAGGTGGGTTCTGGTCAACGGTAAGTTTTGCATCCCTCTTGCACGCTTTATCATACTCATCTTGATTTAATACAGCTCCAACGGTGATCAGTACAGCGCCGAGAAGGGATATTTTGAGCAAGTTGACCTTCATAACAATGTGTCCGCCAGGTAAGCCTCACTAGAGTTTGATTCTTCACTCCTATAATTCCATTTATTGTCAGTGCGCTAAGACCAAACCCAGAATCAAGAACCCTTTGGCCGAATTGACCAAGAATCAGATGCTCCACGACGTTGAAGAGTTTGCTGAGGAGTACAACGTGACAGACATCCTACCCGAGTTGAAAAAAGGGGCACTGGTTGTGCGTAATCCTACCGAATTCGAGATGGTGCCAGGCTTGACCGAGACAGAGCTCACTGCCCTGCGTAACGAAATTCTTCACAAGTGGCGCCAGCCTGCGGCACTCTACTTCACCATTATCCTGTGCTCTATTGGTGCAGCCGTGCAGTATGTGATACTCCAAAAAGTTCTTTGGTACACTTCTAACATAAATACAGGGGATGGGATCAGACTGGCTCCAATGGTGCTAACCTGTCGTTCCCCGATGCTTTTGGTATTTCTGAAGATCCCAAGAAGAGCGCGAACGCCGATCGAAACCTGTGGCTTGTCGGCGTTGTCAATGCTGCTCCCTACATTGCCAGTGCCTGCCTTGGATGCTGGCTCTCGGACCCATGCAACCGGTTCCTCGGCCGTCGCGGTACAATCTTCATCTCAGCTATCTTTTGCGTCCTTACCCCCATTGGCTCTGCAGTGACTCAGAACTGGGTGCAGTTGTTTGTAGTGCGTCTCCTCCTGGGTCTTGGAATGGGCCTGAAGGCATCGACAATTCCAATCTTTTGCGCTGAGAATACTCCTGCTGTGATCCGCGGTGGGCTGGTCATGTCCTGGCAGCTGTGGACTGCTTTTGGCATTTTCCTTGGATTCAGTGCCAACCTTGCTGTCAAGGATACTGGTAAAATCTCCTGGCGCCTACAGCTGGGATCGGCTTTCATCCCAGCAGTCCCTCTCTTGTTCGGCGTTTACTTCTGCCCAGAGTCCCCTCGCTGGTACATTCGACGGGGTGAGATGGGCAAAGCATACAAGTCTCTGTGCCGTCTCCGTAACACGCCTTTGCAGGCTGCTCGTGACCTTTACTATATTCATGCCCAGATCAAGATTGAGATGGACCTAATCGGCAAGAGTAACTACGTCACCCGCTTCATTGAGCTTTTCACCATTCCCCGCGTCCGCCGTGCCACTCTTGCTTCCTTCGTTGTTATGATTGCTCAACAGATGTGCGGTATCAACATCGTTGCCTTTTACTCGTCCACCGTCTTCAAGAACGCCGGCGCAAATGATACACAGGCTCTGTTTGCTTCCTGGGGATTCGGCTTGGTTAACTTTGTGTTCGCCTTCCCTGCTATCTGGACTATTGATACATATGGCCGTCGGACTCTGCTGCTATTCACTTTCCCGCAAATGGCATGGACTTTGCTTGGCGCTGCTTTCTGCTTCTGGACCCCCGAGGGTACGGGACACTTGGCTTCGATTGCTTTCTTTGTCTTCCTATTCGCCGCGTTCTACTCGCCTGGTGAAGGACCTGTGCCGTTCACTTATTCGGCGGAGGTATTTCCTCTTTCTCATCGTGGTATGTTTTTCTCTTTCACCTTTTCTTTTCCCTTTTTCATTTGATATAGTTTCTAGAACTAACATTGATATCAGAGGTTGGCATGTCCTGGGCCGTGGCAACCTGCCTTGGTTGGGCTGCCGTGCTTTCAATCACGTTCCCGAAAATGTTGAGTGCAATGACTGCCACTGGCGCATTTGGCTTTTACGCGTAAGCCTTCCTACCGATATGACAAGTTTCTCATCGAAATTTCTAACAATTGAACTTAGTGGCCTGAATGTGACTGCAATGATCATGATTTTCCTCTGGGTCCCTGAAACCAAGCAGCGCACTCTTGAAGAGCTTGACTACATATTTGCGGTTCCTACTCGGGTTCACATGAAGTATCAAGTCACCAAAGCGCTGCCATATTGGTTCAAGCGCTACATTTTCCGCCAGAATGTTGAGCTGGAGCCTCTTTACTGGTTCGATCACATTACAGGTGGTGGGGAGGCTGTTGCCGTGACACAGAACCAGAGCATTGTCTCTGAGGATGTGAAGCTGTAGATCTGTCTGGTCAACATGGCTCGAGTTTGTGGATCACGAGTGCGGCTTTTTTTTCCCGTGTGAGGGCCATTTCACTTTGGCTCTGATTTTTCTATCTCTGGATATTCAACAAGCAATATTATGGACTTTGAATAATGAAATTTATCATAAAAATGACACTTTAAGGAATCGCAATAGCTAACTACACCCATGATGGTTGGATATAAAAGAACATCCAAAGTAACTTTGGAAGGGAAAGTGTGCTCCACAAGGTTTCGTGGAACCCATGGTTGCTGGGGGATCAGCTGATGTGGAGATATGATCAGGACAAGTTGGTATGATTTGTAGTGTTTGTATGATTTGTATGATTTGTATGGTTTATAGTAATTTGGGGGGGAGATAAATAGCTGGAATTGATACATATCTAGTATCTCACCGGGTAGAGTCATGGGAGAAACTATAAATAACTGTAAATGTAGCTATTATAGGCATGCTGGAGGCTACTATAGGCTTGATAAGTGTATCACGTGGGGAGTTCGGGGGGGATGGCAACGCTCATGTTTTGGTCCGCTCCCGCCCCTCACCTTTTCCCTTGAGAAAGCTCAGGTCTACCTTTCTTACTTCCATTCCTTCTGTTCGCATTTCGAGCTTGTTTGTGACTGCTTGGTCCCAGGAACCTCAGTGTCCTGTGTTTCGGCCCAATTCTCAGGAAATCTATGAACCCCCGTCATCGTGACCCTCCTTTTTGAAACCCAGAAACAAACACACCAGCAGCTGCAGTGGAGCTCAAGGAACTGCTGTGGGCTGCTGGGTGAGTCGAAACCCACTATCTTGACCGCCTCCCACCTATAGCTTATTCCCTCAACACTCAGGAAGGGGAAAAAAATAAGAAAGAAGTTCGCCTATCCCCAATTTGGCATCACTTTTCTCGTGTTTTTGCCTGAAGTATTTCTTGTCTTAATTGCGGGGCAGATCTGATCCTGCGCCTTCGTTGGACTCTCCTCCCCACAGTGCAACATCCATATCCCATTTAACCCTTTCCCACCATGCCCTGCTTCAAAGGGCTTGCCGTGAGCATCCACACGCCCGATGGCCCGATCCCCGAATATTCCATTCAACGCCATTCTCGAGCTTCGCGCATAGGTTGTTTCATTCCTGTTCCTCCGCCTAAAATTCCCGAATCTGGGACCGGTAAAGCGGAACAATCAACCTTCGCGATTTCCGTCACCCTCCTAAACCCCGAGCAAGATGTTCCATACTCGACTCCAAAGCCGACAGCAGATTGCCCCTCACCAAAACCAAAAGTGGTCGGCAAATTGCCCGGTGAGCCAGGTCAAATCCCCGGGGCGGTCGCACCATACCAGGGCTTGACAAACTCGGTGAATGAGACTGTGGCTGCATACATCTACTTTGACGGAAGACAGAAGGAGGAGGTGGCTACATTACTGCGACGAGGAGAAGAGACATGGGTGAATTCTCGCTGGGTCAGCGTTCCGGATAGCGAAGGTGGGGGGATTGCCGAGCGCGAATTCTTGTTCCGTGAGGTCGGTCTGGAGCGCTGGCTCAATGGATTGGACCTGGAAGGCAAGGATGCGGCGGCCAAGATTGAACGCAGGCGACAGAAGATGGAGAAGCGACGCGCAAAGCGCGCCGCTGAAGAGGATCCGACCGCCATGGAATTGGAGGACAACCATCCCGCCAAGTCCAAGACTATTATGCGATACGGAAACGATGAGAAGTCCCCTCTCGAGGATGTTTCGGATGACGACCTCTCTTCCGACTCCGACGACGATGATCCAATTCCCGAGACAGCTGGCCAGATTAAGGTTGCTTTGTTCCGAGTTTTGGCGTCGGGTGAAATCAAACGGGGCGAGTACTCCCCTCAATTTGATGCGCACGATGACGAGGAGGGCGGTCAGGATAATAGCAGCGGAGGAGACGCCGATGTTGACCATACTACAAGCTTCGCGAAGCCAAAGTCACTCGACCCGAAGACCATTAGTACGCAGACTGTTACTGGTATTGACCCGAGTGATAAACCATACGCTACCTTCACTTTCATGTACCGTGGTGAACGTGAGTATTCCCTGGGTAACTCTTGATGGGAATTTTTTCTAACGTCAAATGAACATAGGTCAATTGCAGAAGATGGGTATCTTGAAAGATCCCAAGGTGCAAGAGACGCCTGCTGCCACCAAGCGCAAGTCCTTACAAGCTGATTTCGCAAACCTCGGTCCTATCAAGCCTGGGGGCTCTGTTGGATTCCTTAATTTCCGGGACACCGAAGCCAAGCCGCAGAAGGGCAAGAAAAGCGATGATGACATGGACAGCGATGAAGACGACCTCGAAAACCCCATACTTGGCAAAGCAGACGACGAAGAAGCCAAGGATGACGATCGGTTCTTGTCTCCAGATGACATTCAACGCCAGGGAGAGCTAGCAGAGAGCTTGCGGAAGATTAGAGTACGTACAATTCTAACATTCTATGAGTACTTTGTTAACAATCCCACAGCTCAAGCGTCAGCACTCTGCCGAGCCACCTGGAGGCAGTGTAGGTGATTCTGCCGATACCCCGGCTTCTGGGTCTGGATCCACGCCTCCTGCAAACGAGCGCTCAGCAACACCACCAAAGCCTGCTGCAACTGGATCTGCAGGGCCCTCCGAACCGTCTCAGCCAACCGTCGAACCAGAAGATGGCCTTTTCGGTAGCCCACTGAAGAAACAGCGGGCGAGTGTCTCGACTGCAGATGAGAATGCCCTTCGACGCCGGATCGCGGAGTCATCGGGTAGAATCAGCGACGTTCTAGGCTCTTCCGCCCCAACGGAATCAACTTTTACCAGTCCGAAGATATTTGGAGATGGGTTTAGTCTTACGCCTGATCTTTCTGCTGGACCCCCAGCAAACGATGAGGAGCTGTAAGGCTCCGATCGCCGAAAATACGTTACTTCTGGGTGGTCTGATCTCGAGATCTCGTTCGGGCCATTGGGCTCGATAGGTCGCTACTCTTTCCGCTTTGGAAAGCACTGGTTGCTTTTGTTGTGACCTTGTGGATGAATTAGGATTTTGCGAGTTAGTGGAATCCTCTTTGCCATTTACTGGGTCCTCTTGATAGCCATATTGCTTTTCTACAATTACGCCGTTATGTCCACTACCTAAACTACAGGGAACATGTTGAAGGAGAAATACATTTGCTGCGTCTATCACGGCAGCTTGATGAATTCAAATCCGGAAATAATTGTTGTAGGTGGAGAGAGAGAGAGTAGTTGTATACATCGTAGACTACCCTAAAGTTGGGGTCCGTCCGACTGAGTTTGTCAAGCATTGGCTGAAGCGGCTTAAAACCCGATAAGCTTCTAAGCCCTGACTATAGATCAAACAATATACCAATTTTCAACTCTTCAACTACACATCCATGCTCAGAAATATTTTTCTACCTGTATCTGCGTTACGCCGTGTTCTGATCCAACCCGGCTTTCTCCACCAAGTGATTGATTCTGCCAAGGCCCAATTGAACCTCAAATCGTTAACAGCTTCAATAGCCCAGAATAGTCCCCATCCGCCACAAATCCACGATGCCACTCGAACGCTCAACAGACCCTTTGGTCTGGATCGACTGCGAGGTACGCCCAAACACTCCATCTCCAGTTTAAAATCTCTCACCACGCCTTCCGCAATTCCCCATCACTAACCCCCATTCACAAGATGACAGGCCTAAACCCGGAAACCGACAAGATTATCCAGATCTGCTGTTTCATCACAGATGCCCAACTAAACCTCCTGGAGCCGACCGGCTTCGAAACTGTCATCCACGTTGCAGACTCCACCCTCGACGCGATGTCGCAGTGGTGCATCGACACACACGGCCGCACGGGCCTCACCGCCGCCGTGCGCGCCTCGACCACCTCCCCCTCCACCGCCGCAGACTCCCTCCTCGCCTACATCCGCCAGCACGTCCCAGTCCCGCGCACTGCCCTGCTTGCGGGCAATAGTGTCCACGCCGATAAGGCTTTCCTTGCTTGTGCGCCGTACTCGCAGGTGCTGGATCATCTGCATTATCGCATTCTGGATGTTAGTTCATTGAAGGAGGCGGCGCGGAGGTGGGGAAGTGATCAACTACTTGAGCAAGTCCCACCTAAACGGGAGGTGCATCTTGCTAGGGATGATATCCTTGAAAGTATTGAGGAGATCCGGTTTTACAAAGAGAAGCTATTTGGATGATTATGTGGCTGATATGGTGGCTTACTTGTAACTATGACTCTGAGACATGGGTCTGAGAGGTATTAAAACTCTGCATGTTGAAATTGGTCTCGACTACCTTTCCCTAAGGCCAGAAGATACCGTAAAATGTACATCGTATCCTCTGTGCATGTACAATATACTTCAGAAGAATATTGCTGTACGAGACGCAGTATTTTGGTTCCCCCACGGGAATGATCTGCGGGGGCAATTTGAAGGAGTTAGCTGTCGACAGATAACTTGTAGATTGGACTGAATAGAACAAATCAGAGAGCCTTCAGCTGTAGGGAGTACGGACATATTTAAATTAATATTGTGGCAAACTACTAAGTACTACAAGAGTACTAGTGTGATGATAAACACATGACGCCAAACATTGGCCCCTCCTCCCGTGGAGCTCAACAAGTCGGTGAACTTCTTGAACTTCTTGAACTTCTCCCCCCTCTTCTTCTTCTCTTCTCCTTACCACCTCTTTTTTCCCCAATCTTATTTCATCATGTCCGTCCAGACGGTCTCCATTCAGCCCTTCTCTGACCAGAAGCCTGGAACGTACGTTTATCGTTGCCCCGCAATTGAACTGCTAGCTAACTTGCTCCCAGCTCCGGTCTTCGCAAGAAGGTCAAGGTCTTCCAGCAGGCCAACTACTCCGAATCCTTCATTGCTAGCATTCTTCTGTCGATTCCCGAGGGTGTCGAGGGTTCTTTCCTCGTCATTGGTGGCGATGGCCGCTACTACAACCCCGAGGTCATCTCCAAGATTGCAAAGATTGGCGCCGCCTATGGCGTGAAGAAGCTCTTGATTGGACAGCATGGCATTATGAGCACACCTGCTGCTAGCAACCTCATTCGTGTGAGGAAGGCAACTGGTGGTATCCTCTTGACTGCCAGTCACAACCCCGGTGGTGAGTGATGGTCGGGAGTAAAGGAAGATCTGTTGGGAACTGACCGAAATTCCAGGCCCCGAGAACGACTTTGGTATCAAGTACAACTTGGCAAACGGTGCCCCTGCTCCCGAGGGCGTTACCAACAAGATCTACGAGACTTCCAAGACCCTCACCTCCTACAAATACCTCGATGTTCCCGATGTCGACACCTCCACCATCGGCATCAAGAACTACGGCCCTCTCGAGGTTGAGATCGTTCACTCTACTGCCGACTACGTGACCATGATGAAGGAGATCTTCGATTTCGATCTGATCAAGGAATTCCTCAGCTCCCACAAAGACTTCAAGGTCCTGTTCGACGGCATGCACGGTGTCACCGGACCCTACGGCGTGGATATCTTCGTCAAGGAGCTCGGTCTGCCCACCAGCAGCACAATGAACTGCCAGCCCAAGCCGGACTTTGGCGGCGGTCACCCCGACCCCAACCTCGTGTACGCCCACGAGCTTGTTGAGGCCGTTGATGCGAACGGCGTGCACTTCGGTGCCGCCAGTGATGGCGACGGTGACCGTAACATGATTTACGGCGCTAACAGCTTCGTCTCCCCCGGTGACAGCTTGGCCATCATTGCCCACCACGCCAAGCTCATTCCCTACTTCCAGAAGCAGGGTGTGTACGGCCTGGCCCGCTCAATGCCCACCTCTGGAGCCGTAGACCGCGTGGCTGAAGCCCAAGGCCTGCAGAGCTATGAGGTTCCCACCGGTTGGAAGTTCTTCTGCAACCTGTTCGACGAGAAGAAGATGTCGATCTGTGGTGAAGAGAGCTTCGGCACGGGCAGCAACCACATCCGCGAGAAGGACGGCCTGTGGGCCGTCGTTGCCTGGTTGAACATCATTGCCGGTGTCGCCAAGCAAAAGCCCAGCGAGACCCCCAGCATTGGCTCTATCCAGAACGAGTTCTGGCAGACCTACGGCCGCACCTTCTTCACCCGCTACGACTTCGAGAACGTCGAGAGCGAGGGCGCAAACAAGGTCGTTGGCACTCTGTCCGACCTTGTCTCCAACCGCGATACCTTCGTTGGCTCAGAAATCGCCGGCCGCAAGGTTACCGACGCAGGAAACTTCTCCTACACCGACCTCGACGGCAGCGTCTCCAAGAACCAAGGCCTGTACGCCAAGTTCGATGATGGCAGCCGCATGGTTGTTCGTCTGTCTGGTACCGGCAGCAGCGGTGCTACTATCCGTCTGTATGTTGAGCGCTACGAGGCCGACAAGTCCAAGTTCGGTCTCACCGCTCAGGAGTACCTGGCTGATAACATCTCGTTGGCCCTCAACCTGCTCAAGTTCAAGGAGTATGTTGGCCGCGAGGAGCCTGATGTTAAGACCTAAGTTTGGTTAGGTTGTTAGGGTTAATGTGGAACCTGCTGGATGGGGATCACCTTTTAATTGTTTTGCAGTTATATCTGAACACGAGAAGAATGATGATCGAAAGGCAGGGTCAAGATTAAAAGATTATACGTTGGCATGAGATAGAAACTGCGTCTTTAGCATAATCCGAGCCTGTCTTGTCTAAAATCAGATCTCCAGATATGTGACGCCGATGAAGTATATGCATTATTGTCCCCTGTGCCGGATCTCAAATTGGGGAAGTAATCACAAAGATATCGTAACATCGTAGAATCGTAAATCATCAAACACTTCCGTATAATTATCCCTTCCACGCAGCAGCCGAAACCCTCAACTTCTCCGCCCACCAGCTCTCCCACTTAACAACCCTCTCCTCTCTCCTCGCCTCCTCGGCCGCAAAAACAACAGCATGACTCCGCACCGCCTCCTCGAGCGAACACCCAACAAACCTCGCTTGCGCCGTCTCAACATCCAATCCACCCTCAACCGCCTCAACCGCCTCAACCGCACCAACAAACTGCCTTGCAAGCCCAAAGTCCCCACCACCATGCGACTCTTTATGCTCTGGCAGCGGCCTCGGCACATCAAATACAGTAGTCTTCGCCGTAGCAAAATCATGAACAGAAATAGTTGTACTATCATACGAAACCTCGCCAGTAGTGCCGTAAACTCGGCCTCGACGTTCACACTGTTTCTCCGTAGGCGCAATCATATGGAAACTCGCCGTTTTAGCAAGCCGATGCGGCGCCGCCTCCTCATCGTCCCAAACAAATGTCACAACCTGATCGTCGCAGACATCGTTATCAGCTTCGTAGACGCACCGCCCATACCAAGGCCGCGCAGCGATATCCGAGTCCGACACCGTATCCCGATCATAGTCCTCGGCAAGATGGGAGAGGAGCAACGATTCGGCGGCTTTACTACCTTGCACGCGGAACACGTCTTCAATATCCGGGCAGACAACGTCAATCGGCCAAGCTGTGTGACCTGTCGCGAGATGGCGATCATTATAGATTTTAACCGCGCTGTAGGTACAGTCACGCTCAGCGGGGCAGGAGAGACAGTTTGTAGCATTGCCTGCGGATACGGGCTTGCGCTTTTGGCGGAACTGTGTCATCATGCCGGCAGACGAGATCGAGCGCGGGAAGTGCGGCTTATGGGCTTGTTTGGATTCTGTTTCGGCTAAGGTTGGGGAACAGAGGAGCCAAAGGATGAAGTCGATGTCGTGGCAGGATTTTGTGAGAAGAGAGCCATCGCCTGCTGCTGTTGCACGTCGCCAGTTGCCCCGGACGTAGCTGTGCGAGAAGTGCCACCAGCCTATTGGCTCGCAGTGTTCTAGTGAGACTATGTCGCCGATTACACGGTCTGTGAGAAGGAGTTTGCGGAGAAGGATGTTATGTGGGCTATAGCGGAGGACATGGCCGATTGAGAATATGTTCTTTGGGGCTTGGGGGATGTTGCCTGGGCCTTCTGGTGGTTGAAGGGCTCGGTATACTGTTAGACAGTCGTCTAGCGAGAGGGCTAGTGGCTTCTCGCAGAGGATGTGTAGCTGGAGTGGGGCGAGAGCTTGTATAATCTCGGCGTGTGTTTCGTCTAGAGTGCAGATGAAGACTCCGTCCACGCCCACAGGAGTTAGGTTTGTATCTGCTGCGTTATCGCCGTTGTTTAAAGTCGCCCGTTTCCGTCGCTCGAGTTCCCACTGCACCCACTCGCGCCAGTCGGCGAATTCCTGACCCTCTTTGGGGGGAGCCTGATATGCCCCATATGTATTTTCGTCCGAACTCGCGTCGTTTAAAGGCGTGGGGCTCGGCGACTGCGTGGATTACACCCGGTGTTGCAGTTGTGACGGCGCGACCATAGGCGTTCCCGCGAGAGCCGCCGCCTATGACGAGGAAGCGTAGTTGCTTCGGTGGGGAGTAGAAGGAGCCCGGGATAGTATCCGTGGGAGGTGGGATTGGTTCTTTCATGTTGTTTTAAGGTTTGGTTGAAGTAGTGGGGATGTTGGGGATGAGTTGAAGCTCTGTCGCGTTGGATCTAGTGATATGACGATTAATCGATGGGCTTGTTTGACTCTGACACAGTTTATTATCCTGCTAACCAAGGACAGAGTCGAGATATATATATCTATAATCAACAAAAGCTCGGGACACAAGAGATTACAAGCTGCAATGGGAACGCGTTGTAACTGCGGGGGAACGTAACATCAGCAACATCGGACGGGCTCTGATTGGCCACTGTGGCCACTATATTACCTCCAGGGCTATATTTGTCTTTCAATTTTGGTCTATCTTGTCTCTATCTTCCTTTTAATGTCATTCTCCGATTTTTCTTCCTTGTCGAAAATCATAGCAACCTCTTCCAAAGACCGCCCTTTCGTCTCGGGGAAGAGGAAGTATATAAGACACAAGAACACTACCAGACACCCAAGAAAGACACAGTAATACTTCCATGCAATCGCCGTAAACGCAACTGGGTTAACGTATTGGTTGAAGAAACACGCCACGGCATCCACTGAAAGGGTGACAGCAATGCCCTTGGCACGCAGCTGGAAAGGTAGGATCTCAGCTGGATACGAGATGAACAGAGGTGCATAAGCTATGTCATATGCACCAAAAAAGAGAAACAGCAGTGGAACCACAGCTATTCCAGCAGCGGGAAGTTGTTTTTCGGCAAACAAACCAGCGGCTAGTGTGGACATAGATAGGAAGACGATCATGGCCCCCGTGGAAATAAGCCATAGAATGCGGCGGCCGTATCGCTCCGATGCAAGTGCACCGGCTGCCGCAAGAAGGAAGTTCCAAACGTTGAGACTGATATTCACGGCTGCTTGATCCGCTGCCTTGGTGATTCCCACTGATCTGAGAATCGGTGCGAGGTAATATGATAGGAGGCCTACGAAACTGTTAGCGAAAGGATTTTCTTTAGGACGTTGTGAGGAGCGTACCATTTCCAGCCCATTCCTGCATGAGCCCAATTAACGCACATATGGCCAATCGGTGCATATCACCTCTTGACGAGAAGAAGGAGCTCCAATTCCTGGTATTGGTGATCTCGGCTGTGATCGTGCTACATATCAAACGGTACTCATACTGGACCAACTCGTCATCTGTGTCACCATTTGCATGATATTTTCCCAGGATAGCCAGCGCTTCATCTTTCCTGCCTTTGGATACAAGCCATCTCGGGCTTTCGGGCACAAACATGACTAGTCCTAGAATCTGAAACAACGGATATATTATCTGCAGCAGACAAGGAACTCTCCACGACCAACTGTTTGTTATGCCTATCGTTGCATAAGTAGCCACGGCTGAGCTAATAGCGCCCAAGCTCCAGGATGCATTATAGAGGGCGGTGGCTGTCTGTCGCTGCCGAGGGTGTGCAACCTCAGTTGCCAGGAGAGGAGCTGCAGTCTGGGTAATGCCCATCCCTATACCTGACAAGACTCTGGTGCCAAAAAAGGCCCAGTGGTTTTGTACTGAAGTTTGGATGATCGCTCCCACAATAGCAATGCTAGATCCAATGCCAACACACATCTTACGTCCGAACCTATCAGCAATATAAGAGGCTGGCGCGAAGGAGACGAACGCTCCAAGAGAAGTGGCTGCAATTATCAGGCCAACTATGTTGGGATCCAGTCCGCCAATGATGATACCAACTATGTCATGGTCAGTATAAACATCGTAGTTTCAGGATGGAGACATTACACTCGGGCAGCACAAGCAAGCTATTCACAAGACTTCCAATATACCCAGCCGAGGAAGCAGTGGAGAACATGAACACAATACCCAAGTTCAATTTACGGAGCCCCCTATCTTTGATCCAGTTTGGGTTCGTGTTGTTCGGTAGGAGCTTGAATGCCTCCATCGGGGGCTCCTTCTCCATCGTATCTGCCTCTGTCGCCATATCGTGAGATTGCTTGGATACCGGGATTTCTGGACAAAGAGATTTCGTATTGTATATGTAGACTCAGGGCTTCAACCTCATCAACAATTGATGCTATACCGGCTAGCTTATATCATAAAATTATATAACAAGGGATCATCTACATTCTTCCAACCCTACAAATCTCCAGCCTTCCCCGGGATATCTTCGGATAGTTCCAGGATAACTGGTGACTACAACATGAATGCGCGGAATGAAGGGAGGAATGCAAGATCCAACTACCCAGACAGGCAATGTGTCCAGCGAAGCTTGTTTCACTATCTCCGATCACCTCGTCATAGCACAGAAATACAATGATCTACAGTCCAAAAGAACATATATATATTTTACGATATGATACCACTTACCTCGGCGATGTGAGACAAAGTTTCACCCATCGCACTCCCCAAGCAGCGAGGCATAGCGATTCCCAAGCCCACAAAACCCCTCACACTGCCCACCAACCTCCCTCCCCTTATGTAGCACCTCCTCCATGCCCCATGCAACACGTTCCGCGCCCACCCTCGCACCCTCAAGATTCGGCGCCCCGGGCCCAAGCCGGAGAGACGCCATGCGGCCCGTCATGAATAACGGCACGTCATCCCGCCACGACAGATCGTTTGTCAGGCATGGTAGACCTGACTTGACTTCGATCGGGTATTGGTCGTTCATTGCATGGAGCAGCGGCATCTCGCGCACGTCGGCCCGCACTCCGGTTGCAAAGTAGATATAGTCTATTGCAGGGAGCCCAGGGATTGGTGGGTCAGTTGTTAGGGTCCAGGTCTGAGTTGCTGGGTTATATTCATGGGTTTTTATTTCGGTACAAGGGTGGATGGAGGCGCGGTGCTGGGCTGCGTGCTGCTTTACGATCTTTGTGTAGCGTGGTGTAATGCTGCCACCATTTCGGGCGGTTTGGAGCATCTCAAGGCGCTCTACTAGATATTAGTATCGATTTTTTGATGGGATTAGGGCTTTCTTTCACATACCTTCGTCGGTGTCGGCGGACCAGAAGGCTGCTTTCTCCCAGTTCTTATACTTGCCCATCCAGGGCAGACTGATATCGAAGTGTTTGACTGTCATTCGAATAAGATATTGCCCAAAACACTAGCTGCTGGGGATGTTATACGTACCCTTCATGCCGGACCGCATCAAGAACCAAACTTTCGTCACGCCTTTGCGAACCGCCATATCGACAATCTGTGCTGATGACAGCCCGCCTCCAACAACGACAACATTGGTCTCCTGCCGGCGCTGGATTTTATCCCGTACATTAGGACTCGGAAATGATTTAATCTCCGTACTGTGGCAACATGCTGCAGCACCTTCTTGCTCCGTCGAGGGTTTCCACGGATAAATCTTCGATACACCTGCTCCGCCAGGACCAATGGCCAGGACAACAGTCCGGCTATAGAACTTCTCTCCCGTGGATGTGGTAACAGTGAACACCTTCGAGCCCGAGCTATCAGAGAGATAATTATATGATAGATCCGTGGCCTCACGCTGCAAGATTTGACCAGGCTCATCCAGGCCATACCGCTGGATAATTGACGAACAATAATCTGAAAAAAGGTCCGTGGAAGGCGAGAAGTAATCTTTCCGATCTCGCTCATCAATCTCAGCTCCGATTGTTCTGTTTAATCAGAGGTAATTGTTAGAGATCTGCTCAGCCATATTCGCAAGGACACAACTTACTGAGACTTCCCACCCTGCCTCCTCTTCTTCTTCTTGTGCTTGCTCATCTCCTTCCCAACACACCCGGAGATCTCCCACAAATCCGCATCTCGCCCACTCTCCTGTGTATAAGCCAGCATACCATCCCGATCCCCAGGATCAACATGGAAGAACATCGGGCTACGGAGCTGTTTAATCTCCAGCGTGCGGAACGCATTGTTCCACCGCTGCATCCATTTATCTCCAGAGCCATCGAGGACTAGAGTTGAGATAGATGATGCCGACGATGTTGAGGATGTAGATGATAGAGATGGCACGGAAGATGCAGAGTCAGTCGAGGTGCGCCGTTGCCGGTCTTTCTCACAAGGACATCTGCGTTCACTGTCCCATTTTGCGGCTCGCACGCCGTTAATCTTGCTGTGCCGTGCTTGTACCAGACTCATCCGGCCACTGTGCTTCTTGATCCAGTGGTAGCGCTGGTGTTCTTCATCTGTGAATACTGCTGATGGTGTTTCTTCGCTTAGGCGTGCGGCGACGGCGAGGCCGCATGGTCCTGCGCCGATGATAATTACATCGCGTATTTCATGGTCTTCGGGCAATTCTTGGGATGAAGACATTTTAGAAGGGCAAGGTAGGGTTGGAGTAATGGTGGGTGATAGAGACGTAGTGGTCGCAGTAGTACTTCAGGGCTGATGGAATAGTAAATTTGCAAGAACCTACACTCATAGGAGCAATATCTTCTTTTATAGTCTACTGGTATAAATGTATTTCTACAATGTCCTCATAAGTCGACTATCGAGGTACTCGTCTCCAAGGTCCTTGGGGCATGCAACCATATAGGGACATAATCGACATCACGGGTTTGATAGGCTAAGGTCTCTGAGGACCTTAAGAGTCTCTTCCATCATTTTCGATTTATCAATTGAGCATTTCCAATGTAGACTTGAAGATAAATCTTTGATTTCGGGCCAACAGCGTTCCATGCGCCGTGCGAAGCATATGACAAAGAGCTCATGAACTTAGAAGTGAGGCTTCACGATCTTTATTGTATCAAGTAGATTTAAAATACATATATATCGTATACTTATCAAGTCAAGGAGTTGATCTTTCCATCTGTATTGGGGGCTAAACAACAAATGAGGCTCTCCCAGTGAACCAGGTGGACATGCTATTGCAGGGTCAGCAGAACAGGCTGTCTCTATCCGAAATTATGCAGAGTGAGGGTAATTTCGACTTAAAACCACGCGATCTAGGTACTAAAAAAAAGGAAAGTTGGCTAAGTCTGCCCAGGTGGTTTGGGGATTGGTACAATATTTTCTACACGTCTCATATACTTAGAAAATACAAAAAAGAAAAGAAATTATATTATAAGAAAGAGAATATTTGCAAGGGGAATAGCAAAGCACCAAAAGCCGCCAAAAGAAAAAGAAAAGAAAAGAAAAGTAAGAGAAACAAAACAGAATATAGTCAAAACTCCAAAGCCCATAAAACCCAAACTACTGCGCCTACACGAAAAACACATCAAATATTATTTATGCCATTTCTTCGTCTTCGTCCCAGGCTTCGCCCTAGAGGCACCTCCCTCCCTCCGATGCCAAGGATCCGAAGGCCAAACCCATCCCCTTACCCTCTTAGCATCCCTCTTCTCCCCAATCTGCGGTTCAGGAATCCACTTATCCTTCGGCTCCGCCAGAATCCTCTGACGGGTCATCGCACCAGGTCCGCCAACGTTGAGGTGGGCAGAAGGCTGATGCGGAAGCGGCACCGACTTCGAGAGCATCAACAAGAAATACAGCCCCAGCCCCGCCGTCATAGCCGGCAGTCCATCCTCACCCAGCTCTGGGTCCGATGAGCCGTAGAGCGAGGGGAGCGACGAGCCCGACGACGACGAGAAAGAGCGCGCGCTGATGGGCGTTGTGAGCGGGGCGTCGCGCGCGTGTGCGTGTGCATATGCGCTCCCCGCAGCATCAGTTGCTGCTTCTGCTGCTGTCTTGAGCGGGATTGACGCTGCAATCTCCAAGTACCCGAAGTAGGGGACGTCGTCACCGATGTCGCAGCCTGCTCGCACGCAGACGAGCTCGATCTCGGTGATTATGAAGCCGTAGCGGCAGGAGTGTTCGCGCATGCAGCGCTGGAGGTGGGCGAGTCCGTTGAGGTATTCTACGCGTCTGTGCGGGGCTTCGTTGCGCATACCGGTGTTCCAGCGGTCGAAGCTTTTCACGATGCCGACTAGTCGGCCGCGCGGGAGACCGGCGCTTGTTTGCTCGGTGTCTGAGAGGTAGTTTGCTAGGAAGTGCGGGTGGCCGTGGTTTTTGTGGCCTGTGTTGCGGACGTCTGGCGCAGCGTAGAGTTGGAGGTGGTCTTTGCCCTGGGAGACGGCCAGGGCGGCATTTACGCGTGGTGCGTAGAGGTCGCGGATTAGGCTCACTAGGTCGTGCTCGGATTCTGGCGCTAGGCTCGCTGAGGGGGCGGCCACGTGCGGTGTGAGCTCTGCTGGGATTTCGGTCTTCAGGAGCTGGGTCAGTCGGCTGTCCAGGGAGTCGAATGTCGCCAGTGAGAAGGAGCTCCAGCTGCGCAGGTTGCGGATGTCCCACCAGAAGTAATCGTGTAGGCCGCGAGTTGGAACCACGCTCACATTGCGGACTAGGCTGATTGGTTGGATTGGTAGGGTCAGATATGACAGCAGAGTTGTGGTCCGCGGAGGCAGATCTTCCTGGGGACTGAGTAAGGCTGGCGAATGCTGGACAGTCGATGCCTGGCGATAGTTATATTGAGGAGTTGGCACTGTCAATGGAGTTTGCGCGCCTATAGGAGAATGCTGGCCTCCCACTCTTCGGGAGTATGATGAGTATGGCATAATGTTTGGAGTGACCGGGGTGACCGGGGTGGTCGGGGTCGTCTGGGCCTGCATTTGAGGCACATATTTTGGTAGCTCCTGGTATGTGGGATAACCAAATCGAGCCAAACTGGCGGCGTCGACGACAGATGCTGACACCGAGCGTGAGTGACCTCCTCCTGATTTGCGTTTATACGAAGGGGTGATGGTCACGGGGGATGACAAGGCAGAGAAGCTGCCCGGTGCAGTCATTGGCGCTGGTGAGATGGGAGATGCCAATGTCAAGCGGTCCACGGCATCGCGTGTGCGACGGCCGGTGGATGGCCGCACCGGTGGGTAAGGGATAAATCCAGGCGGGTTCCGTGTATTGGACAGAACCCGGGGGTGACGAACAGGCCCGCTAGCAGACACTGGCTCGATCACAATATCTTGAGGTCGGATCTTGGGCAATAGCTTTGGGCCATGATGATGTCTGGTTGGCGACGTGGTAGGACTGGTATTTCCAGTCATGGTCGACCAGGGAGATGACTCGTTTGAATAAACAGAAGAATTGGAGGCATGACGGCTATGCCCAGAGCCGAAGTCGATATATTCCTCAAGGGAAAGACGCGGCGGTGTCGACGGCCTAAAGCGAGCAGAATCGACAGCAGACATGATAGAGAAGGTGTTGATTATGTAGGTGTGTGTATCACCAATAATAATCTATCATAAGAGTAACCAATGAATAAAGGAACTGATGTCTTGTTGACCAAGTCGTTCAGAAGGGCATGATCCAGACGGAGGATGTTGGGATATTAAATGCACATCGACAGAGTCTCAAACAGCCAAGCTTGATGCATATAAAAAGATTGTCTGACGAACCCTAGCGGATCTAGGAAAGATGAAACATGGAGAAGAGCCCCATTGTAACGCCTACGGAGCCTGGGAATCTTTTTTTGGGATCCTAGTCTCCGATCAGAGCCACTTCCATTCGATGAAACACAAAACTGCCGACATTGCGCCTGAAGGACAAGCATGTTGAGCAATAAGGCCCTTGAAACTGCCCCTCCGAGGGGTTCTAGTCCGGGATAGTGCGGTTTCATCGGACTGTCGCGCGTTAAGATGTTACTATATTTTGCATTTTCTTCAATATAAATCTTCAGATTCCCTAAGATGGTTAGCTTGATGCATGATTGTCAAGGTGTTCTAAAAAAGGCAACAATTAAGTCACATTTTCTAGGTAATTAGCGGACTTGTTGGTGATTGTCCCTGCCTAAGGACTCGCGGGGTCAGCGGTTAAGGGTTCCAAGAAAGTAAATAGATAAAAATAGCCATCGGGGTTATGGACTGTGTGATTCCAAGGGTCTAAATAGAGTAAAAAGGTCTCTTTGAAGGGAAGGTACCTGCTCTAGATGCGCCAGTGGCCGAATGTGATATCGAAGTCGGCGGTTACATGTATGGGATGAGTTTGAAGTACGCGCCGAGCACCGGCGTCGTATGCAGTGATTGGATAACTCCGACCTTGAAACTGAGAAATGTCCCATAATTAGCAACAATTAATGCAGTTGATAGAGAAGTTCATCCAAGAGACAATCTGAAAAGAGGTTGAAGTTAAACCGGGGTGATCATCACATAACCGCGCATTGACCCCTAGGGGTGTTTCACTCGAGTTAATGTACATTGTATAGTAGTTAATATCGACTTTTTAGTACAAGGGTTATTTGAAATTTCATCTCATTAATTGTTTTAATTATTTCATAACATTCATTTCATGTGGGGTCAAAATGATTAAAAAAACACCCAACCGAAAAAAAAGAGTAAAAAAAGGAAAGAAAAAAAGGGGGGGGGAAGGTCTCTCTCAAAAGATCCTGTGGTCTATGCACCTTGGACAAAAAAACACTCAAAACGCTCGGGGGAATCTCTCTGCACCGTCTAAACAACAGATCGAACGGTAAAGGCAATCGCAGAAAATCAAACTTTTTAAGCCTTGATCTCGTACTTGCGGCGGAACATGTCATCCACCTCAGTCAGGTAGTAGACACCGGATCCAATAGTCTCGGTGTTACCAGAAGGCTTGAAGTTCTTCTTCAGGTGAGCGTGCTCACGGAGCTTGCACATGTCGTCGTAAGCAGCAGGCTCGAGGATAGTGCGGGCATTGAGACGGTTCTGGAGGTCAAGCTTCTCAACCATGGTGGACACATCGCCGACGATATTGGCGCTGAACATAGAGCTGGCAAGACCGGAACCGTAGCTGAACAGACCGATGCGCTTGGGCTCCTTAGGATCGAAGGCGATGTTGCTGAGCAGAGCAGCCAAACCGGCGTAAACGGTGGCAGTGTACATGTTACCACACTGGGTGGCGACCTGGAGACCAGGGTTGACACGCTCGGCGAAACGCTTCTTGGTCAGGCCCATGAAGGTCTTCTCAACAACCTTGTCGGTAAGAGACTTCTCATAGTCGAGGTCGCGGAGCTCGGGGGCAACCTCAGCGAAAGCGGGGTGGGAGGGGTTGGCCAGGAAGTCATTATAGAGCATACGAGCGTAGGACTTCTGGACGAGCTTGCAGGTAGGGGCGTGGAACAGAATGTAGTCGAAGCGGTCTAGGGGACTAGCGGACTCATCGGTGGCACCGTTGGCACTGTTGGCACCGTTCGCCTGGGCCTTCAGGAACTTCTCACGGGTGTCATATGCCTTGTAGCAGGCATCGACAGCCTCAGTGTAGCATCTAAGAGAGTAGTGACCATCGACAACGGGGTACTCGCTAGTGAGGTCGGGCTTGTAGAAATCGTAGGCGTGGGTGAGGTATGAGGCACGAAGACCGGCCTCGAAGACAATAGGGGCATCAGGGCCAATGACCATGGCAACGCAGCCAGCACCACCAGTGGGGCGGGCAGCACCAGCGGCGTACAGAGCAATATCACCGCAGACGACAATGGCATCACGGCCATCCCAGGCGGAAGACTCGAGCCAGTTGATGCTGTTGAAGACAGCGTTGGTACCACCGTAGCAGGCGTTGACATTGTCGACACCCTCAATGTTGGTGTTTCCGTGAGGAGCGAAAAGCTGCATGAGAACGGACTTGACGGACTTAGACTTGTCCAAAAGGGTCTCAGTGCCAACCTCAAGTCTTCCAATGGACTTGGGGTCGATGTTGTATTTGTTCATGAGGGAGGAGAGGACGGTGAGGGACATGGAGTAGATATCTACCGAGAAAGATTAGCTGATTGCTCTTGTCTTTTAGAGTCTGCCAGTGTACATACCCTCACGGTCATCACAGAAGCTCATCTTAGTCTGTCCGAGACCGATGGTGTACTTTCCAGCAGAGACACCATCGTACTTCTCCAAGTCGACCTGGTCAACACACTACAATTGACATATTAGTATAAGTTCTAGGATGAAAATATGCACATGGAACACTAACCTGAGTAGGGAAGTAGACCTCAATGGCCTTGATGCCGATGTTTTGGGGACGAGCAGCCATAGTGGGGGTTATGGAGGGGCAACTTGAGGAAGAGACAAAGGTGAAGGAAGATTGAAGGGAGATGAGGGATAAGAAGATGAAGGTTAGGATTATAAGAGAAAGACCGAACCTTGGAAGAGAAGGCGATTGATATAAGAATGAAAAGGAGTCTGTGTACTCGGTTCTACCGTGTACGATCTGTCACTTATTATTTTTTTTTTTTTTTTTTCCTTCTCTTTTTTCTACTAAGTGGGGGAGATCTTCCCTTTTCTTTTGGACCTTTTTCGTTTTTAAACTGTTCCTTTGGGCCGGATAATTGCCTAGGAGATCTATCATTGGGTATATATACTGAAGCTATATAGTTTTTTTACTCTGTATAGCCCGTGGATCACATGTTACCCGTGAACTTCAACCTTGCAACTTCAATAACACAGAACACTATTACACCAAATAGTAAATAGTAAATAGTAAATGGTAAACGAAACATGTAATTTAGTTACTCCGTGTAACTAAATACCTGTTCTATTCTACGTGGCGTTTAATAAAAAAGCCTCAAACATCTATAAGCTACGGTGTAGAACTGAGTCTGCCATCTTATCGATCTCTTGTCTCCACTACGGAATATCCTGGCCTTCAAATGTTGGTTTAATATTCTTTAATATCCTTATTAATATCTACAAGATCTTCCTTTTCTCCGACTTATATTGTATATACCGGTGTGGAGGACTTGAAAGTGGCATCACTTCGGAACTCTTGGATTGTTCTTATGAAACTTGCTCTACAAATATTCGTTATATTGGAGTCTCATATCAGTTTCAGTCTTCTTTGACTATATTACTCTGATACATCTATACATACATATATATATATATATATATACTGCTGATCTTCAAAGATATCTTTGGTGTGAGGGTATGTAGCATAATGGAGAACATCTGCATGACACTGCATTTCCAAGGTCCAACACGGAGATATATATATACAAAAAGAAGAGATCACCAAATATATCTTGATAAGAATATATTCTAATATTGTCACATTGTCATAGTATAAAACATTGCCAATGCTCGAATGCCCCAATGCCATCCATGATGTGTAATGCAGGTTGCCAAGCGCGGGTCACTCTCACTCCGGGGGGCGTCTGCCTATCTTCTGTGTCTCTCCTATACAACTCCCATTGAATTCTGGACATACTTATCTATCGGCATATGATGTCGGACGTCGCTCATTTCCCAATTTCCTACAGATCATGATCCCCCGGATCTCCGCACCCGCGCTACACCTTTATTACTGCTCTCCGGAGCCCCGTATCTCCCACAATGGGCGACGAGAAGTTTGACTATCAGGCTGTCCCTATCCCTTCTTACGCTGAAGCCACTGGCCAACCCTCCTCCTCCCGATCCGACCTCGGCGATGGAACAGATGTTGAACGACAGGGGCTACTCGGTCGCGATCATGCCTCCACCCGAGGCTACCATCCACCAACCGTGGAATCGGCGCGCTCCAGCCTCGATGACCTAGAGTCATTGACCTCACACTCAAACCGAGAGTCCGTAGAGGAGCTACGAAGGGAACTAGATCAAATGGATGTGGATGATTCGGCATCGGCCTCCTTGACCGGCAGACACGCCCCTCTACGACAACGTTTTTCCAAGCAGCTATCGAGTCTGAGTCGTACACTGTCTGCCATACAACGACCCTTCCAACGATATATGCCCAATTTTCGTTTCCGCTTCACGATAAACCTTGGCGACACGAGGGCACGCTTAAAAGATCAGGGATGCATCATGCTTCTCCGGGTCTTCGCTCTTTTACTGGTGGTCACCCTAGTGTATGTGTTCTTTATCGCGGATGTCTTCAATATCAACAGTCGCATGTCCATGGGTCAGTCCTATAGCGCTGCCTCCGTCGAGAACTTCATCCAAGGTCACATCAACGAGACCAATATTGCCGAAAACTTGCGACGAATCACCAACTACACCCACGTAGCTGGCACCGAAGGTGGCTTTGCGCTATCACAATTGATCGAACAAGAGTTTGAGAAAGCAGGGTTCGATGAAGTGTCGCGGGAGGAATTCCAGGTCTACCTCAACTATCCACGCAAGGATGGGAGGAGAGTCGCAATCATCGATCCGCCCAGTCTAGCTTGGGAGGCGAAACTCGAAGAGGACAATGCCAAGGACCTGGTCTTTCATGGACATTCGAAATCTGGCAATGTCACTGGGCACCTGGTGTACGCTAACTTCGGATCCCGAGAAGATTTCAAGCTGCTCGCAGACAAAGGAATTTCACTCAATGGCTCGATTGCTTTGGTCCGTTACTATGGGACTGAATCCAACCGCGCATTGAAAGTCAAGGCCGCCCATATGGCCGGAGCTGCTGGCTGTATCATCTACTCCGATCCCGCTCAGGACGGATTTGTCCAAGGCCCGGTTTTCCCGGATGGACGGTACATGCCAAGCGATGGCGTCCAAAGAGGCGATGTTAGTATAGTGTCGGAGATAATTGGTGATGTTCTCAGCCCTGGATGGGCATCCACTCCGGGAGAAAAGCACCGTTTATCTCCCGAAGACAATCCCGCCTTACCTAAGATTCCCAGTCTCCCACTCGCTTGGCGCGATGCACAGGTACTTTTGCAGGGCCTCAAAGGCCACGGCTCCAAGGTACCACAGGAATGGGTGGGTGGGGTTCCCAAGGTAGAAGAGTGGTGGACTGGTGACCAGGGCTCCCCGGTCGTTCATCTGATGAACCTGCAAGATGAAGTAGAGCGGCAACCTATCTACAACATCCACGGCAGGATCATCGGAATGGACGAGCGTGATAAAAAAATTATTGTTGGCAATCACCGAGATTCGTGGTGCACGGGCGGCGTTGACCCTGGAAGTGGCACTGCTACTCTCCTAGAGGTTGTACGGGCCTTTGGCGAGTTGCTCACCTATGGATGGCGGCCGCTTCGCACCATTGAATTTGTCAGTTGGGATGGAGAGGAGTACAATTTGATTGGCTCAACAGAATATGTCGAAAAGGAGATTGATGATCTCCGTGCGAATGCGTTTGCCTACTTAAATGTCGACGTGGCCGTTTCTGGACCCGATTTCGGTGTGTCTGCGTCGCCCGTTTTTGAGCGCGCCGTGATGCAAGCTATGGGTCGTGTCTCGGACCCATATGCGAACGCGACACTGAAAGACCTTTGGGATCAAAAGGGATCAAAGATCACCCCACTTGGCGCTGGAAGTGATTATGTTGCATTCCAGGATATCGCCGGCACTTCGAGCATTAACTTTGGGTTTTTCGGCGGCCCCTTTCCATCCCACAGCTGCTATGAAACGTATGACTGGATGGTTAAGTTTGCCGACCCCGATTTCCAATACTCCAAAGCCCTGGCTCAATTCTGGGGGCTCCTTCTGCTTGACCTTTCGGAGAGCCCCATGCTGCCATTTGACCTAGAAGTCTACGGTGACTCCATTGGCGGATGGGTCAAAGACTTGGACGAATTTGCCAAATCAAAGAAGGCCGAGGTAGACATGCAACCTATGTTCAAGGCTGCGATCGAGATGAAAACCAATGCTGTTACATTCGAGTCCTGGACCAAGACCTGGCACGAAACTGTGTGGGGTATGGGTGGGTATGAAAGCAATGTCATGGCAGTCCAGCGGGTGAACCATAATGTTCGAATGGCTGCCTTTGATACCAATCTACTTGACTTAGAAGAAGGCGGAGGTGTAAGTCGACATTCTGCTTGATTCATCCCTCAGCCCTAGCTAACAACCTGTACAGATCCCCAACCGTACACAATTCCGACACGTCATCTTTGGTCCAGAGCTGTGGTCCAGTTCTGACGTCTCGCTCTTCCCTGCTATCCGCGACAGTATCAACACAGGTAATTGGACGTTAACCCAATATTGGATCGACCGTGTTGCCAATATCATCCACCAAGCCAGCGACAAGCTGCTACACTAATGTATTCTATCCTTCAGCCCTTTTCCTACTTGTCTTTCTTTCAGCCATGCTTCATCCATGCCTATCGGATTGATTCTTTTGATACGTTCTAAACGAGCATTGTACAGCCCGACACCTGCTAGGTTGTCGGGATACCTTTATACCTGCATTTTGGGAACTTCTTTCATGTCCATCATATACCATGCATGGCTTGAGCTCATACGGGACACGGCACATTGTTCTTCTGTCGGTTCCATTGGTCGGGTCACCCCCGCTTTTCTCTTGAATGTATCTAGTTTCTCATCCTTGTCCCGAGGGACCGGCGTTCATATGGGGATATATCACATTTCATACCTAGCTTTTCAAGAGGGTTTCCACCCTCCAGTCCACATGGTTTGCTTGCTCACCCCAAGTGTTCAGCCCTTTAGGGTAGTCACTGATTTTTCCGGAGCAAACATTCTGTCTAGTTAGGAGTCAGTTTTGCAGCCTTCTAGTGTAGAAATCTTGAAAAAGTTTACTTACAGGGAGGAGGTAGCATTATGGTGCTCATACACGGGTATCATAAAATATCACAATTCCGTCAAACTAAACAGGAGGCAAAGAAGGCTCAATCGCCAACAAAGACGGATGATCCGCCAGACTTTGCCAAAACCCAGCCTCGAAATCCCATAAATCCTGACTCAACAACGTCGCCCACTCATCATTCCCCTCAACCCCTGCCATTTCAGGCAGGGACTGCGCCGGGTCCGAATGAGTCGAGTCTAGAAACCGCTGAATAGTCCGCGTAACCTTGGAAAGCAACGCATAGTTCGGATCTCCGGCTTTAACAATCGTCCCGATCTGCACCTCTGCTACAAACACACTGAGATCTTGTAATGACCGTGTCCGATGCGCTCGTGGCATGTGCTGTTTCAACATGGCCAGAAGCATTATCCCCGCAGCGGGGAGACCGTAGTACGCGACCTAGTTAGCAACGTATGTTAGTTGAATGCTTGCAATTCAGGGGATTTTATAGACAGGGTATGGAATATAAACTATCCAGTCAATTACATGCATACCTTCCAAATAAGACCCGTCCCAGAATTAGTGAGCTGATCCCGCAGCAGAATAATCTCCACAACGAGCGTGAGCATCTGACCCGCCGTCTCGATGATCGGAAGATCAGGCTCGTTTGGTGATTTAAGAAGTAAAAGGCGGAGCAAGAATAGCACATGTAAGTGGTGCAGTCGTACGCCGGCAACGAAATCTCGCTCGAACGGCCCTTGCGTACAATTCTTCAGACTACTCTCGAGTCGGAAGTGGGCTGGCAGCTGTTGCCACTGCGTCTCTGCTTGACATTGTATCACGCTGTATCATTTCTTGATTAGCCATGGTTTCCGCTGAGATATTTGGTGTGGGGCGTTGCTTTTTGAATACCTTGCTCGTTGCGCACATGACGGATCATGCTTGTCCTGAAGAAGCTCCCAGATTTCCTCCTTTAGCGAGGCGCACAGCGCAGACCACCGTGTATCAGCCCGGTACCCGGGCTCAGCATCTGGGGCCCAGTCTGCCGAGCCTTCTTCTACGTTCGGGCAGGATGGGATCTGGAAGTGGCAGAAGCGTTTGTTCATTCGCGGTGGGCGACCGAGGAATATTGCTATGTTCTTGTCTGCGGAGTAAATGCGCGCGAAGGCTGTTTTGCGTAGTTCTTTGAGGAATGGTGGGAGTCCTGCTTTTATTTCGATGTTCTCGTGGTAGCCTAGGGCAAATGTGGAGGATATCGCGTCCCCTAGTTTACGCCAGGAACGGTAGCCTTCAAGAGATTAACACAGGGTTAAGTAGAGGTAGCAATTGTAGATGGATAGCTGGTGACTTACTCTGATCTCCATCCACGTAAGAATGGACGATAAAGTTTTCGTATTGCATGATCAGTTGTAGATCATTCAGGCAATCTAGAGAGAGGGATATCTCCAATGCAAAGTCACATAGTTTGGTGCATAGTCTTCGGAGTGTGTACTGCTCCTTTTCAGTAGTATATAAGGATGGAAAGAATGCAATGTCAATCGTCGCGCGACTAACAGCAGCAAAGAATATCCCTAACGTCTCCCAGCGAGAATTGTGATTTAGGAATTGAGCCGAGAAACCAGCCAGGTCAGAGGTATCATTGAAATGCAGCGGTTGGGCCGAGTTTTGCAAGAGACGTCTTGCATAGACCAGATGCCAGTTATCATCGTGATAGGTGAATAATTGGCTCACACTCTGAGCACATTGGTCAACGAAGGGCTCTGCCAGGGCCAGGTTGGCTCCTTTAGCTAGCCAGAACATGACGAGGTCTTTCATGGCGAACAACTTGTATGTTGTCAAGATATGTTTGAGAATATCTGCACCTTGTAGGACCAGATGGTTGTCCCCAAATAAGTCCGAGTGCAGATCCTCTGGAACTGCCTGATGACTACCGTGGCCATGGTCTCCGTCCGGAGTGATGTGCTTGAATATAGCTGCATGGCTAGACGACCCTAGATACCCAGGATTGGGGTATGGATTACGTCTTGGGTTAAATGATGGCGATTCATCTGCTGAACCAAGGCTGCAAATATATAATTAGACAATTTGAATGCAGGCTAGGCAAGTATAAAACCGACCTTTGCTTCTCGACTCTTTTCCTCTTAAAGGGCGTAGTCCGATAGATACAAATGCCCTTGCTAGCACTACAACGCGTACAAACGGGCAGCTGATGATCGCATGCCAATTTAGCCTTTCTACAGGCTTCACAGGCAGCCAGACGCGACATGGCTGCTCTGGCGGAGTTTCGCCCGCTAGTGGGGATAAATAGTGAAGTCGGCTAACAACGGCGAGATCGGAGTGTCGGCGTGTCGGCGTATCGGCGATAAGATGCGGGGATCTCCCCATCTATAAATACTCGTGTTTGTTCTTCTCCAACTCCAATATCACATTCATTATGACTCAAGACATAAAGCTCGCAGACTACCTGTTCACCCGGTTGCGCCAGCTGGGCGTCGACTCCATGTTCGGCGTCCCTGGTGACTACAACCTTCGCCTATTGGATTTCGTTACACCTGCCGGCCTCCACTGGGTGGGCAACTGCAATGAACTCAACGCCGCCTACGCGGCAGACGGATACGGTCGCATTAAGGGCCTGTCTGCACTGATCACTACCTATGGAGTTGGCGAGCTGTCCGCTATCAACGGTATTGCAGGCGCCTATGCCGAGAACACACCTGTGTTACACATTGTCGGATCTCCACCACGCCCACTCCAGAGCGCGCGCACATTTATGCACCACACTTTCTCAGATGGCGACTATCGTCGCTTTGCAAATATGTCGAAGCATGTCACTGCAGCCCAGGCTAGGCTAGAAGATGCTGCTACGGCGCCGGACAGGATCGACTATGTCCTGCGCCAGGCGTTAATCCACAGCCGTCCGGTCTACCTCGAATTCCCTGATGATATGCCCGATGTGCTGGTGTCAGCTGCAAATTTGGAAACAAAGATCTGCATCCCCAAACCACCAAGTTCCGCCCAAGAGCCCCAGGTGCTGGCTCGCATCCTGGAGAGAGTATACAGTGCCAAGCGTCCTTTCATCTTTGTGGACGGAGAAAGCACAGGTCTCGGTATCGTCGACCAGCTCGATGCTCTGATCAAAGCAACCAACTGGCCTACATGGACAACCGTGTACGGCAAGGGCTTAGTCAACGAGCAGCTGCCAAATGTGTACGGACTGTACGCGTCAGCCTTTGGCGACAAGCCAGCGCAGGAGTACTTCGAAGAAGCAGACCTGATCCTGACATTCGGACCACACAACAGCGATACCAATACCTATTTCTACACATCAATCCCCAAGCCCGCAGTGGCAATCACCTTCTCGGGCAGCACCGTCCAAATCGAGAATGATACCTACCGCGACCTGTCCGCCCGCAACATTCTATCAAACATACTTCAGAACCTCGACTCCACACGCCTAGTCAAGGCCACCGGACCTCCCAAACAAGAAACAACCCTAGCCGACATCAAGAACACAGACCCGCTCGCCCAAAAAAACTTCTACCGCCTGGTAAACCCGCTCTTCCGCGAGGGCGACATAATCCTCACTGAGACAGGCACCGCCGCGCACGGCGGCCGGAACTTTAAATTGCCTGCGAAATCCCGCCTCTTCGGCGCGGTGACTTGGCTCTCCATTGGATTCATGCTCCCAGCAACATTAGGCACCGCGCTAGCGCAGCGCGAGCACAACAAAGGCACGGAAAGCAAGACTCAGACGATATTGTTCATCGGTGACGGGAGTCTGCAGATGACGGCGCAGGAGATCAGCGTGATGATCCGCGAGAAGTTGAATATTATCATTTTTATCATCAATAATGACGGGTATACCATTGAGCGGGTGATCCACGGACGCAAGCAGGTTTACAACGATGTGCCATTCTGGAGACATGCGCAGGCGCTGAATTATTTCGGGGCTGATGAAGAGCATGCTGCGAATAATACTTTTACGGCAAGGACTTGTGGCGAGTTGAAGGATGTGTTGGCCAACGAGCGCATTCAGAATGGGTCTGGAGTGAGGCTTGTTGAGGTGTTCATGGATAGGGAGGATGTACAGGGAGCTTTGCTGTATTTACTGAACAAGCAGCTTGATGAGGAGAAGGAGGCAGAGCGGCAAACCCAGATTTAAAAAGAGAAAAATGATATCACTTTTTACATATGGAAAAATATATATATATATATATATATATATATATATGTTTTACAACGGTTCCCTTGGACGGTAGTTTTGGTCAAGTAGAATGAAGTAGAATGAAGTCTTACTATGATTATTGCGTGTCTCGCTCCTAGTACCACGAAATGAGAAATCCTTGGACGAACAAAATCAGGCTAAGTGAACGCCGATTCCCTATGCTCCAGATCCGCCATGCACACAGTGTGAAACTTGAAGAAACGAAAAAGAAAAATGACCCGAAACAATTTAAAACAGACATCTGCTTGAGCATGTCATGAGTAGTCTATAATTGATCTGTGTTGCTGAGAGA